ATCAGGAGCCCCGCTGGGGTTTGTTGTGATTTCATTATACAGTTAACCAGTGATTGTCAGAAAATGTACGTCCTGAAAATGTACCGCTGTACCCCCACACTGCGTCACGTAAAACCGAACCCTAACAAAAATCCAGCCTCATTTACACAGGGCCAAGTAAACAAATAGCGATAGAAGTGTTTACAGCAAAAAGGGAAATAGGATGTTGACGGTTGTGGAACAAGTGTATGTGCTGTTGTTTTTTTATGTTGTTGTTTTTTTTTTTCTTCTATTTGAGATAATTCATTCAGTCCAACAAATCACTGTAAGCTGGTTTTAAACAAACAAACGAGGCTATAATAAAGATTTATCCAGATGCCAGATGTGTGTTTGTGTAGGTGTGTGTGTGTCTATGTTTTGGGTTCAGAGGGGCAAAAGACATGATTGCGTGCGGACACTGCCCTGCACCACTTCCTCTTCAGGAGCCCAGAGACGTCACAGCCAGCTGTATTGATGCCTCTCACACATGTTAACAAATACACACACACACACTCATTTTGGGGGTAGTGTGCTTCTGTAAAGCCAAACAAACAATGGAAAGTTCCAGCCAGTGCTGCCGCGGAGAAATAAAAGTGATAGAGGTAGCAGAGATGAAGAATAAGAGGCTGCTTGAACAAGCACCAAGCTAAACCGAGCAAAGTGCCAGCTCATGTCAGATGTGTGGAGACACTCCAATTCCTGGATATAAAACAACAGAAAACTGATCCGGTGTGTGTGCGTGCAGATCGCCTCAGGCAGTACGGGTGGATCTGGTAGCTGTCTGCAGATATCCAGATAAGGATGCCAAATGGCAGCGCTGTCCTTGGTGGCGTGACACCAGGAGCAAAACAAAACCAGGCCTGGAGATGTGCCCAGCACGGCCCAAATCTGAGCTCGGCTGTTTACAGCTGAGTTATGGGCACAGCAACCCCGCAGTTGATAAATATAGACACTGTCTGTCTCTGCAGCTGGAAGACTCACTCTCACACACACTAAGGCATCAACACCCAGAGGTCCCACACACACACACAAAAATGTACATGTACCCGTGTCCGGGAGGTTACACGATGAATTCCCCATCGCAGATTACCATGAAAGTAATTTAAAAAATAATGTCCAGATGATTCCTACATCTCTTCACAGGACATTAATTATTAATTCACTGGCAAAAAATCTGAAGGCATGTTTATACTGTAATTAACTGTATACGATGAACTGTGGCATGGAATGTTTTAAAATAGTTCACTGTACCAAAGGTTGCATGAATGACAATGACCCTGAAACAACAGACTACGGGGTGTTTTATGGCGTATTGCAGCAGTGTTGCCTGTAAAAGAGTAGCGCCATCTTCTGTTAAGAGAAAAAGGGCTCCAACGTGACATGTTAAGCTCACACTTGAAGTATCACTTCGGGAGCACTTTAGCTTTCAGTGTCACTTTGACGTAACGAGCGTGGTAGCTGGTGTCAAGATGTAACCTATCACCTTGCAGTTCCTCAACTCATCTGTGTTTACATTCACGTCTAAACATTTCGTTATTATCTTAGCGTAACTTGAATCCAAACACTCCTTTCTTAACTCGATCAGTCATTTCATGATGTATGGCAACGGCATTGCTGAGGCCAGCAGCGGAATGTAATAAGTACAACAATTTACTCAAGTACTGTGCTTAAGTACTTTACTACTTTACTTAAGTATTTCCATTTTGTGCAACTTTATACTTCTATGAATAAAGTTTTAAATAAACTATTTAAAAACAGCTGTACAATGCATCATCACAAAGCTGAAAAAAGGTCCGTTTTTTCTGAGTTCATAAAAAGTTGACTTTTCGGAGATACCTTAAAGATCTCACAGCTACAAACATATGATGATTTTATAATATATAATGCATTGCTGCAGATTAAACTACCCAAAAAGTGTATAGATAGGACCACAACCATGAACATCTACAGCAGTAAAATGCATTTTGGGCATAGCAACTGGTAGTCTACACAGGACGCACGGGAGAGGATGGGTTAAACCACCACAGGAGGTAGTCACGTGGGTGGCTAGTCACTCGGTAGTCACATGAGTCGTTAGTCAGTCAAGTTAACGCATGGATGTATAAAGATAACTGGATACACTGTTGGAGGCAGCGCCCCATTCATTCCTATCAAAGTTGCTCAGTGGGACATGAAGCAAAAAAAGTTTGACTTCAGAGTAAAAAAAGTCTATGAATCTAATGGCGATCTTCTGCATCACTGGGCCCAAAGAGCAAGCGCACAAGTGTTTCCTTTAACCCCGCCTCCCAGCCCTCAGTCCAGCCTCATTCTCGGGCTCATTCACATGAACAGAGAAAGGAAAATAAGTCTGGATTTGGTTATTAGTGCATTGATTAAAAGAACAGTGTGTAACATTAAGGGGGATTTATTGGCAGATATTGAATATAATATCCTTTCACGTTATCTAAAAGGTAGGGGTGCGTTTCGAAACCCAATATTAAACGGGCCCCGGTGCTAAATAATTGAATTTCTTTCCACATTACCACAGTGAATTAGGGCTCAGTTACCTTCCTTGATGTAAGGATGGCCACCATCATTTTATACACTAAAATAGTATAGTTATTACGTGTGAAAACAAAAGTTTGGCTATGGTAGGAAGGTTCAAGCCTGCATCAGAAAAAAAGAGAAAAGGGTTCCATTGAAAAAGAGAAAAACAGCCCAGAAAATAAAATATGAGAAACTGTAATCACATTTTCCAGGAGTGGCGCACATATAAAATTCTAAATGATTAATAAGAGTTTGGGTAGTGCGAGTCACGGTATGTTAAGGATTACATTTTTCATGGTCTCCCTTTGACCAGCAGATAAGATCAGGGTGGATGGAAGGATGGGGAGTTGGGGAAAAGTGGAAAAAGAGAGAAGAAAGAACGAAGTACAGTGCCTTGTGGAATTCAAGTGCTTGGTGGAGAAAGAGTCCTGGACCAGTGCCACGAACAGTCACGCTGCAAGAGAAACAAGAACCGTTCTGCTGCTCATTACTCTCGGTTTACTGTAGAGGTTTGTGAGGTTATTGCTTTTACATGTACATGATCGTCTGTGAGTGGGGAGCATTTTATCTCCCTTTAAATATTTAGAACTACAACTGGAAATTCAGGGGGAACTGTGCAAGGTTGCACCCTATACGGTAATCACGCTTTGTTCCTTGGTACAAAAGGTGCACTCAGCTTTTTGTTTTCAAGAGGGCACAGAGAGGAGAATGTAGAATGAATAGGCCAAAAGGCCAGAGATGGAGGTGAGTAGAGCAGAGGTAATCCTAGATTTGCAAGGCCAACGGAGGGAGAATGCTGCATACATAGTATGGTGCATAGTAAGGACCACATTGTGTCGATATTACATCAAATCCATTTCAGTCCATTGAAAAAAACCTACATGCAGTATGTTGGAACCACCAAAACACCCATCACGGGGAAAAAAACAAGTAATAAAGCCAACTCTCTGTTGACCCAAATGAACTAAAATATAGTAAATATATACTACAAGAACATACAAAGGAGTTAATGTAACATAAATACAAAAAACACTGCATGTCAACATGGCACGTCGCAACACTCAAACTACATCTCTCAATCTTCATAAAGCCATTATCCATTAATATTGAAAGGGATCAAACCATGTACACATCAGCTACATGGCAGCCCCATGTAGCATTGAGACTTTTTAAAGCCCATAATCTACTGAAACCTCAAACCTTCTGCATTTTGTCCTATGGGACTTGGTATTACCTGCCTGCTAAGTATATAATCCCCTAATCTGTATGCAATGATGCTACATAACTCAGTCCCAGTGGGAGAGGTACTCCAGCAGTCTCCAACTGGAATTAAGCCAAACAATAGCGTTGACATATTGTCTGTGAACACTCGTAGTAACTGTTGATAATGTAAACTTGTGAAAGCACAATGTTGGAGGACTAGTCTGTTGATAATGGTGAAAAAGCAATAGTTAGTAAAGAAATAATAGCAGTCATTAATTTGCTCTGCTACGGCACGTCAAAACAGGAAGCAAAGAAAAAGAATTACATCAGAATTACATTTTGGTTGACATTAATGAAGCTCATTTGAATGAGCGGGTTAGCCGGAGGAAGCGACATGTATTCACAATTCACACAGCAAACAGCAGCAGTGAATTCTCAATCCTATGAGGGCATGTGGTGACAAGCCATCCGGTACCTTAACATGTCCTACAACCTATTGAGAGGGATTTCTTTGACGTTTCCCTCAAGACTAAAGGGATAATCCCCTTTATAACTCTCTGTACCTGATATGGCCTTGGCCCTCGAGAGTCTTTTTAAACCTCAAGAGACTTCAACAAAACAACTTCATTTAGAGAGCAGCTAGAGGGGCTCTCTGGTCTGACAAAAGGCCTTTAGGTACAACCGACAAGTAGGGAAATCAGTATTATATGTATCAAAGAACGGAGGTCAGCATAGGGTGATGGATCGGAGGGAGACGGGGGCTCCAGAGAAGAGCAGAAGGGACATTTTCTGGGACTTACTTAGCTTTCACCACTGGCAGGGGAATGTTCTCAGTCATGTAGTCCAGCTCATCTGTTAAGCTGTTGGCGCGGGAGATGTCGATGATGTGATCATGATTCCCCCTCACTGCAAAAGGACAGACATAACAGATAGTAATTCCAGGGCACTTATATTGGGCAGGCAACTCTGTACAAGTTTAAATCTACATAAACTATACTGAGGATTTTTTTTTTTTCCAATTTACTTGACAACAAACGTTCAAGTAAATATTGATGCACATAGTTGTTTCCATCAAAAAGGAATTAATTTCATGTGCTATGTTGAATAGTAGTAAAATTGTAAGACAAAGACAAATGGCAAATATGCAGTCCAAGTAAGCTGAGAAGTGCAAATATATTCAAGTGTCAGTATCAGAAACATAAAAGCAGAAATAAGGAAACAGAAAGATACCTGGGGAGCCAGGGCAGCTCAGAGTGAAAGACGACCAAGAATGTTGAGGACGGCCTGATGCCATGAAAAATAGTTAAGAGACAGGAGAAGAAGGGAAAAGAAGAAGAAATCAGTCCTCATTGTTTAACCGTTTGGTGCACAATAGAAATGCTAAATTGTTGAATTAACAAGGAGGTTTTCAAAATGATGGAAATCTTCAGTAAATCTAGGGTGAAATTATCTTATTTCAGTTGGGAAAAAGTGTGTGTGTTACATATTTTTAACAGTTTGTATGAGGAAACAGAAATTGCAGAGCTCCAGCTCAACAGTGCAGCTGGCCGGCTGCTGGCATGTTGCTAAAAACAACAGCAAAGAACAACATGTGTAGCGAGGTCTTGACCTGCAGCCAGACTGTCAGCGTCTGAGTTTGACATGTCTCTCCACCAAACCACCAGGCCTCCAGTGTGATAAAGAATGGAGGGGCAAATCTGTATGAATGACCAGTCCAATTCAAGCTAAATCCATTCAGCCTCTCTTGTATTCCATCATCGAGTTTGTTTAACATTGTCCAATCCGGAAGCAGAGAAGCTGATGAGGGAGAGAGAGAGGGGGGGGGGAGGGGGGGTGACCAGAGCTAACAAGAGCCACCTTTAGCCTCAACCTCAGCTCACTGAAGGAGACGTGAACTGGCTTATCGGCTACACAAACAGGATAAGGGTTTATTAACAATATGTAGTTTTATCTGGCCCATCAGTGCAAACGTGTTTGGCTTGGAGAGTATGAGTCAAGGGCAGGAGGGAGAGAGAGAAAGACGGAACAAATGCAGGGGGAAAAAAAGACAGAAGTACAGCAAGAGAGAGAGGGAGAGAGGGAGAGAGCGAGAGAGCGAGAGAGCGAGAGAGCGCGCTCCATTGAGAGATTCTCACAGACTGGGAGGTGGGTGTGGCCAGACAGATAAGTGGAGCGATAAGCCGGACACTGACTAAATCAAACAATGACCAGTTTATTTCTGACTACTGGAGCTCCACAATGGCAGCTTACCAACTCCACACCCCTCCCTCCCTCCCTCTCTTTAGTGTCCTAGTCCAGATCCCCACAGGCCCCTGTCCATTCCGAGCCAGGCCAGCCATGTTCCTCACCCGTGGTGTTGGCAGGGCACCCAGTAAAGAAAACAGGCCAGGTCAACCCAGGACCAGTGTCTGAGTCTCCCTGCTTGGCTCTGGTTTGGTCCGGTTGGGGACAAAGGCCCAGCCAGCCAGCGAGTCTAATTAAAATACTGTCTGGGCCACATTAAAAAGGCAGGCTAGCTAATGATTAACACAGAGGACTTTTTAATAGGAGTGAAAAATGAAGTACTTAACCAGTGACAGGGGCTAGTGGTTAGTGCAGTGCTCACATATACACTATGTACTCAACCGTTGTGCTTTAGTTCATAGGAATAACAGGTAAAAGAGTCCCATTTCCTGTTTTCTTGGTACAGCTCATGCCGTAACATACAAGATTATGAAAAGGAAACTTGAGGCACTAAAATATGCGTTGACATCATCTCTGGAACAAAATGTCATAAACCCTGGAAATCCCATTTAGTGCACCTCAGTTGTGATGGGAAGGACTCACCTGTTTGTCCAAACATTTCGGGGGTTCCTGCGAAGAAAAGCGGAAATTATATTAATATGAGAATGCAACATGGCCGGAGCACACAACACTGACAACGTCATTCCAACTTATGTCATCAACAATCCCCATGAGTTCCTGCTTTGCAGCACAACAGCATTTTTGTTGCACAATTAGTTTCTCCTTTTATGAAATGGGATTCATTTCTGGGCCAGAAACAGCCTGAAAATGTACTTTAGAATTAGAATAAGTTAGAATTTCTGTATAAGTAGTCACTTTTAACATCAACAACAAGTAATGTGTTGCCATGCACCTCCATTTAATGTATTTACTTAAAGAAGCTATAATCATTTCAAGCATCAAACAACAATGTGAAAACAAAGTGACAAGGTGAAGGGGCTTGTTTGTGATGAACCTGCAGTGAATTATCACCAGAATCTACAACTCTCCTAAGCACCCCTAAGCTCTCACAGTGAGTTTAGCTGTCCGGCCCGCAACTTTAATGTGTTGGACTTGCGTTCACCAGGTGGACCGAGACACCACTCTACTGTTTGCTCAAAGATTTGCCATATCATGGCCAAAGAATGTGTTTATCTCCGCAAGGAGATTATGTATTCTGTTGTGTGTGAGTGCATGAGTGTGTGTGCACATCTATGTCTGACTGTCTAAAGCTCATCTCCAATACTGTTGGACCCATCAGCTCTCTCCGTTCCAGCCGGTTTGGGCTGCAAGTGAACAACTCCTTCAGTTTGGACTCGTTTCCACTTCCTTTGTACGCTTAGGTAAGACAATTGCATGTATGTATGTATGTATGCATATATCTATGTACATGAGAGGCCAGTATGTTTATCATTTGCTCAGCAAAGTTTAGCAAATGATAAACATACTGGTCTAAACTTCGCTTAGCAAAACTTTGCAAAAGCTAATCTTCATTACATGCAGATTTTATTGGCAGACTCAAAATATAAACCCCAGCAGCAAAATCTCAATTAAACCAGTTTGCTATTTAGGACAAGCATTTAATAAAACAAAACAAAATAAATCTAATACCTGTTAGGCTTATAGTACTCTTTGAAACAGTGGTGGTTTAAACAATAAATAAAAAAGCAGGGGCTCTGGTGTGGACAGTTGACATTGCAGATGTCTGTTTTATGGCTGGATCTAAAGCAGAGATCATACAGTCCCATGCTGTTTCAACTCTACTCATCATCATTACTGACAGCAGGCTGTGAGCTGCAGGCTTCTTTATATGGTTTCATGTCATCCACAGCTTGGCCAATTCCTTTTTCCACTGTACAGTCCCAGCATGTGTGTTTATGTTTATTTAATGATTATAAAAGCAAAACAATAATTTTAAATAATAAGATCTGCATGTTGACAGCTTGTTTTGTTGCTAGTAAATATGACAATGAATACTGGATAAAATGTGCAAACTAACTGGTTTGACATAAAGTTTTATTTGACTGCTTTTTCACATGAACTTAAGACATATGTTTTCCTTCATTATCTAAGATCCACCCAATTAAGCTGGAAACTAAAGAACATTTCCCCTCATAAGTGGTCTCTCCTCCAGTGATGGTCTGCCTTTATGTCAAGTTTATGTCACTCCAGTTCCTTTTATGATGGCACACCTAAAAACAAACTCATAAAGTGCATTTATTAACCTGGAGTCTGGGTTAATTCATTTGGCGGGGATGGCCAACCAGCCATCGATCAAGTACTGTGTATAGACTGGCATTTTAAAAAACATAGTTTCTATTGCTATGTACAAGTGCTGTCAACACTTAAGAACCACAATTATCTGGGTACTGAAACCACCATCATTATTTTGTCCGAGCTTTTTTCAGCCAGTTGACAAAAAGATAGCACAACTTGGCTTTGGCATGACTGCAGCAATATTGGTGATCTTCAATGAGTATAACAAGTCTGCATTTTAAAGTTTTCTTTTCCAATTAAGCCTAGTTTGAGTGTCTGTGGCCGGCAAAGGGGACAAGCGAGGCAGTAAAGAGCTTGTAACCATGACCTCTAATCATCACTGAGACTGAAATGGCTTCCATGCGGACTACTGAAGACACCTGGCAGCCATCTTGGGGTCTAAGCGGATCAGGATAGGGCCTGTGTGAAAATGAGGAACCAGCACATAACAACTCATCCCATGTTGTTTTAAGGTCTCCGAACAGCAATCTTTTGCGAAAAGATTAGCTCCAAAAAAACACATTGAAAGAGGTTGTCTATCTGTATTTACTTCTTTCTTCAAGACCAACAATGATAACATGATAATGAAAGTCTAAGTTTAAGCTCTGTGAGGCTTTACTTGTATTTACACCAGCATGTATACATAGCATACAGTATACTGTATGTAATCACTGCCAGATTTGCTCACACATGTATCATGTTTTACCAATACATAGCTCCACAAAGAATGAACTAATGAGACGGCCGAGTGTGATCTCAGCCATGCAGCAGCAGGAAGAGCAGTCAGCACCCAACACAGTAAAAGTGTGAATGCCTTATAAAATGTTGGTTTTCTCGAGGCAAAATGTGTAAAAATAAGTATATTATTAGATTTGTTAACATAGTTATCAGAACTATCTCAAGTGTATCTACTGTATTTTTTCAAAGACATTCAAAACAAAAGTACGAACTAACAACTAATAATTTTAAATCAACTGCCATAAAAATGTAATCCATCATGGAGTTGGCCATATAAAAATGTCATAAATGCAAAAACAGTGGGGGGAAGAAAAAAAACGTTTATAAAAACAATGAATTTCCAAGGCCTTCAAGGCAGCATGACATCATTCCACAGCCCTCAGCATACAATAGTTCATCAAAAATAAGATGGACTATATATCAAGAGGAACAGATCACTGCAGTAACTCACATAGAACATGGCATTCTGAGATGAAGTTCATTCATGAATTCAACCAATTCAATCTTGGCGAGTTGATTTTTCTTGGACTGAGTTGGTGGACTAGAATTAGTGGATCTCAGACTGAATAATGAGTGTGTGACTCGAACCCTTTATATACTTGATATCAGTTTGGATACTGTACATTATAGTAACATAAAAGCAAGTATATTACCTTCAACAGCACCTCTTGGCTCTTCCAGGGAAAAAGAGGCATCTTTCTTCTCCTCGGAGTCATCAATGTGATCGAGGGTGATCTGGGGGATCGATACGGCCCTCTCTGAGGCCACACCCATAGAGCAGTTACTTCTGGGCTTCAACCTTCTCTTGGTCCCCCTTTTCTGACAGACAGAGGAAACAACAACTCAGTTAATAAACAAGAAATGTGTGACTATCATGAGAAATTGTAATCATAATCAATAATCTTTAAAGAGCCTTTCCGATATGTTGTGTAAATAGTTTAAAACAATCGAAAGAATTGTGAACCTCAGAAGTGACCCTCACATACACCTTTCCTCACATGACCCTTTCCTTCACGTATTCCCTCTGATAATTAGTATATAGTTGGGACCATTCTACCTTTATCGACTAGACAGGTGACATTCAACATCCCAATACCCAGTTTGTGTGGCCAGAGATCAGTCTGGACACCCAGCCTTGCAGGTGCTGCATATTATTTTGGGAGACCAACAAAAAAGGGGTTCACGCGTGGAGCTACTGTTTCATAATGTTTGAGAAAACCATTCATTGCCTATCATGTTTTGTTCTTTTGTTTCTGTATTTTGTGTATTATCTGTGCAGACAGGAATATCAGTATGGGACTGTTGTGGCAAGAAGGACTTTATTAGATTTGGACCGTCTCTTAATCTCACAAACGAAAGAGTTCACACTGAAGTTTGAGCCAATAGTATTATAGAGGCACAATGTGCCAGCAAAACCGTTAATATATGGAGACAAAGCAGCCACTTTTTGTAACCGAAACCAACCCTCTTCACTTAGCTTTATGAACATCTTCATTGAAACTGCTGGTTGTTTACTTTTCTCCAATGCTGTACATTATGAGAAGGACTTACAATAAGTCTTCCTGCTTCCATTAAAAACGCACATCAAGATTTCTTGCACTATAGCTGGATATTATTTGTTCAAAGTGCTAGCCTGTTAACAACACAGAACACTTGAATACGTTTCAGGTGTTCCACATTGTCAAGGAAACTTGCAAATGTGAATTTATCCAGCCATTTTAGCATCGTGTTAAAAAGCCATGCTAAGCCAAAAACATTGATACACAAAATCACATTATTTTCTTTTAGTACCTGTATAGTTCACATTCTCCTACCAAATTGTGTGCTCGCATGCTGGTGACATCAGCGGTAGCCTACATGTTAAATTTCAGTTTCTTTGAGATCATAGCTATCGGATGTGTGAGTCAGCAGGTTTCTGCAAACTAAATAGTGCCTAAATGGTGCCTTCAGTCCAATCTTTAGACCCTCTGACCCACAACAACATCATGGACGATGGCCTTTATGGAAACTCAATTATTTGGACTCAGTGGATCAGACTTTGGCATTGACAAGTGGCCAGCAGTTCAATCCAAATACCCAATTTCAATGACTCATTAGTGGAGAGAGTGAGAGAGTGATTTGGGGGGGGGGGCTGTCACAAGACTAAAAGAGAGAGAAAGATGGAAGGGCATGAAGAAACTGTGACAGACTCTGAGTTTAATCGTGAGAAGGGACAAAGAAATAGAGACCGAGTTAGATATAAAGAGGAGAGGGAGAAAAAAATATTAATGAATCAGAAAGAAATAGACGAGGCAGAGATGGGGCAGAGGAAGATATGCAAAAAAAGAGATGGGAAGAAAAAGAAGGAGAGAAATAGGTTTGTTAAACAGAGAAGAAACAGGAGAGGAATCTTTAGAGACGGGGAAAGGGGAAAGAAGAGTCAGAAGAGAAAGTCACATGCTGAAGCAGAAAAGAGCAGCAGTCATTCTCCCCAATACATGTGGGTTCAATGCTACACAAAGATTTTTTTGTTGTTGTTCTACTAGACAAAGGTTTACTCCCATGAGAAAGGCCGCGGTGACATCATCTCAACTGACTGAGTCTTTGTCCGGCGGAGACAAAGGCCTCGAGTCATCCTGGTGGAGTCAGGCCTTGGGGGGAGGTGTGTGTCCTTCCGTGTGCATGTACGTTTGTGGGAACTTAACTTGCCCTTTTATGCTGTATGGCCTCGGGACACAACATGGCTAATATTATTGTGAAAGGTGAGCTGCACAAGGAGACAATACAGTGTGGGCCGGACATATGCAAATCCCCCCCACCCCACCAGTTTCACAGTCTGACGACTTTTTCTGACAACACTCTTTTGTAGACTTCTTGATGTTTCTCACCTAAGGTTAGAAGGGTTATTTTAGAATAAAATGTTCTTCTCACATAAGAAATACCACATGTGTTTATTCAAAATGAGACGTCTACAACCAGTAAAATGAGCGCCGTTACTTTTTTTCTGGGTGGGATTTCACCTTTATTGGATGGATCAAAGTTAAGAGCCACAATAAACAGTGGAGGAGAAAAAGATGTGAAAAATGTCCCTGGTTGAATTCAAAGCCAGCATGTCACAATGCCCACAGCGTCAAAGACATACTTTATATTTAAGGACATGAGAGTGGTTTCAAAAAGAAGGCTTGTCCTGTTCTGTTGAGGAAAGTAAATCAATCACTCCTGAAAACTGCACAAAACATGAGCCACAAAATACCCGTTGCTCTGAGATAATTACCGATATGTTCAGTATCCTGACATGAGGGCTGAAGTTTTCAGGTTCCACTGTGGCGACGGTCTCTGGAGTTAGAACATACATTTTCCATGTGATATCACAGCCGTTTGGTTTCTCTGCTGCATAGCACCTCCAAAGTGTCTGAGGAGGGCAGAATTTGTGTTAGTCAGTTGATGCACATATCATATTTTCTTCTACTCCCCCAATAACAAATTAGAACCAACCATAGGATAGCAAGCCAGTGATTAGGAACCATTAGCCAGTGACGCTACAATATGAGCCACAAATTCAGCGATGTGTGAACAAATACTGAACATTTACATATTTACATATCTGTTGCTACCATTTATTTGTCGTGTTCCACACAAATTCCTGTATGTAAATATATTTATTCATTTATTTTTATTCTTGTGCATTAGTCTCAATTGTTTGAGACTATAACTAACCTTAACTTATTTGTACTGTCGTTGTACTGTGATTTGTTAGTCACATGTAAAGCACTGCAGAAATGTAGGTGTCTTTGTGTCACAGGTGTCTAAACTGTCTGCGGTTGTGTCTCTCTGTGTTAAGGGTAATTGTAATCCTTGTAATGGTTAGCTTTGACACAAGATAGCTGCTTGTTTGTCTACCATTTCGCTCTTGGCAAGTGGGATACTGCTCACCTTTTCCATGGCGCAGCAGAAATTTGCAGACAACAAATGAAGCTCTAGCGCAAGTTCAGACAGGAAGACTATCCCTGCACGCTTAGGCTCGTAGGCCTTTCTCTCGTACTGCTCCCTCACTAAGCAGCACATTCTCTATTCCGGTTGTCACTGTCAGAGACTCTATCAGCTGTCTAACAGCTGAGTCACACCCTCTTCGTTAGCCTATCAGCTTGCTGCTGCCTCCTTTTAAATGTGCTGTATCCCCGCCTCCAGCTTCTTGCTGCTGTTTCATGCGACCCTCCTCCTCCCCAGCACCATCCGTCTTCGGAGATTCAGCACTCCATCAGCATCAGCATCTCCAGCCAACTCCAGCAGAACCTCCAGCCACCACCACCAGTGTCTGGACTCCTCGGGGGGATTTATATATTGTTGCCGCTCAGGGCAATCGCAACGCGATCACAAATCTCCTTGTCGAGTTCAAGCGCCAAATAATTTCTGCGTAACTCATGAACGCATCATCTGTCATAATAAATGTTAACTACTAATCAGTCACTTGTCTCTCCTGATTGAAACACCGTTACTTTTTTCTTTTCAGTTTCCAATATTGTCTTTCACTGGCAACGTCTTGAAAGTGGTCATGGGTCTACTATTAAATCATTGTTTGTGACCTAGATTTTAATATATACTTTGTGGATTACAACACTACATTTCATAAAGCTGAATGGCAAACATGTACCTGGATGAGGCAAGCTGCAGCAGGGATCTGTCTATTGAAGTGCTTCTGTCTTTGCTTCTGTTGGACTTTCAGGGCAAACCCTGAGCCCAGGATACCCTGATTGGAAATAATCAAGTCGTAAGAAAACCTGTCATATTAAAGTTGGAACAGTAAGTGGACGTTAGGATTGTAGATCCAGAATCTCACAAATAATAATAATAATAATAATAAAATATATATATATATACACATATACACACACACACACACAAAATTTATAAAAAAAAAAAAAAGATTAGAGACAAAAATGGTTGAACTGTGCTTCAATGCAGAGAGTAATGCCTGAACAAAACAGAAGTCAACAAAGTAATAAGATTTGGACGAATGGGAACAAAACATTTGAATAAATCTTTCCTTTCTGGTCGTGAGTTTCATGTGATTCAGATTAAAGTTATATTTACAGCAGGCAGAGCGAAGAAGGAGATGGCGAAGACGCTGAAGCAGGAGGCAATGGCCTTGCCAATCCACGTTTGAGGAATTTTGTCTCCGTAGCCGATGGTGGTGACAGTCACCTAAAGACAGAGAATGGATGAAGTTCCTCTTATATCTATTTAGAGGATCATTAGCAGATTGTAGGCATATGTGTGACGGACAGAAAAATCCTGTAATGCACACGGCCCTTCACTGATGCAAAACAGGTCAAGACATTTGAGGCTGATGTGATAAAAGCTAAATTTAATCCACACTATCGCAGGTTGAGCCGTGAAACTGGAGGGTACCTTTATCCTTTCCTTAACCGTCGATGCAGCTGATAAAAATGTAAAATAGATGTAAATAATTCCTCTTTACACGTCAAAATGTATAGTTGTACTCAGAGAGATATCAACATTCACTCTAATTTGTAACAAACTGACGTAATGAAAATGTCAGTCAATGCAAGGCATCACCAGAGCAGTCTATAACAAGAGTTGGACAATAAAGCAGTTCTGGCCTCGTTCCACAACTGTCAGCGATGGCCGGGGGCGTTTGAGGCTCTTGCTCCTCAAAGGGAATAAGATTCCCAACCCACTAATCCTCAGTGAGTGTAGGAATTTGCCGGTCTGAGAGGGGGGGGGGGGACAAATACCTCTTGCATTTGCATGTACACCCACTCTGAAAGCCGAGCCAATTCTGACACATTCAGAACTCACTTGGCTTACCGCGGGGGTCTATGGAGTATCGCCGCCGTTGTGCGCAAACACAAAGCGGCTGATGTAAGGTGAGATACTTAAAAGGGCTTTGGGAGTAAAAAAGAAGGAGCAAGGGCGGGAAGGGTGGCTGGGTGTATGTTGGGGGCGGGAGGAGTGTTGGGGGATTTAATCCCTCGTCCACAAATCCGATGACTAAACAATGTCCTCCTGACCATCAGAGTGGAATGGTCTACTCAAAGACACCCCTCTTATTCACAATGTAGGGTGTGTGGCAAAAACCTCCTCATGTCTACACAAAGGTCATAGACCTGGTCTTTGAATATGTGTAAGTGTGTACATGTCTGTATGCATGTTTATATGAATGCTGATCTGCATGAATACATACTGTTTGAATGATTGTACCCAATTCAAATTGTACATAAGCACCACAACTACAAAACGTCAAGTTTAGCAGATCTCATGTTTCTAATTTTCTCATTTTTATGCTTTGTCCTGGTTGAAGTTAGAAAGGTTGTTAAAAACAAACAGCCATTACCTAACCGTCAGCAATTGGCAAAAGAAGGAGAGAGGCAGGGAAGGTGAGGGAGGGAGAGAGAAGGGGATATGAATCATGGCATTGCCTTGTCCTCCAGCTGTGCCCTGCACCTGCACATCCGAATGTGGAAATCATGCCAAGAGAAGGAATACAGACGGGGGGGGGGGGGGGGGTTAGCATTCTCCAATCAACGTAATCTCATTGCACACACAAACCTGACCAAAGCCATTGTAATGGCATATCATGACTCAAGTCTACAGTCTCGGAAAAACAATAGAAAGTGCAGATCCCCAACCGCGTTTCTTTTCTCGACATTGTGAACAGAGCAACACCAACGACAGCTTTTCTTCAACTTTCCATAGAGCAGTGAGGAGCACTGTGACCCCTCTAACCCTCGTTACATAAAAGGTAGTAATCCCACAATTAAAGTTTTAATTAAGGGAACTGACACTTTATATTGGTGCTCTAAAAGTTCTTTGAGCCAAAGAGCCCAGAGGTGAATGCTTTATTACCGTCTCTTTGTGGCATGCTGATCCCCTGCACAAGGCTGCCATAGGTTTCTCATTACTCTGCGCTTTCAATTCAAATGTTTAATTAACTACTGTGGAAACCTGAGCCTCTGTACAGAGGGAAATAAGCAAAACCAGCTCTACGCACAAAAAACATCAACACGCCTGCGTCTGTGTCGAGTGTCGCAGCATTACGTGCATGCTCCACAAAGACCCAATGAGGAAAATAAAAACAGAAGGAGATTAATAATTAGACCAGCCAGGGTGGCCAGCCATCTCAATCATTTTTCCATTTAAGACTCCACTTGAGATTCCATTGTGCAGATTTTTTTGTTGCAGCTTTCGAGAGAGAAGTCTTTTTACATGTGATGTGGCCTTTCAAGAGTGGAGACTAGGTTGTAAATTGCAAGTAGCGTTCAAGGATCCAAGTAATATATGCATTGCAAAAGACAAAATTCAGATAATATACTCGTACAAATATGCTGAGAGTACAAAAACATCAGTGAAGGGCTTGCTTCTTCTGTAAGATGTAATTCTATTTTCTAGTTAAGCTGCCTTACCACGCCCCACCACAGGGCATCGGCGTAGTTGGAGAAGCCCGTCTTGCCCTCCTCGTCCACAGCGTCCTTCTCCGCCAAGTAGACAAAGTAGGAGGAAAAGATCAGGCCCAGGAACCCGATGTACAGCGTGGTGATCAGCTCCTGGAAAAAAACACGATCGGTCAGCCGAAGGCGATACTATCAAAATGTTGAATGAAAGAACGTTCTCTGGTGAAGAGAGCCAGGTTGGTGACAGTGCACATCAGCGTTACTTCAAACGTGTATGTTTCAAATGACCTATGAGTGACGTGCTGTATGCTTCTGCTGACTGACGCCAACCTTCATCCTTCTGTATTTAGTAAGAAGTGTCAGGTTAGTTCATCCCTAATAACAAATGTGCTGTTTGGGTCTTACCCACGCTCGCGTGTGGTGAAGGGAGTAGAGGCGTGAGTTTGCATGAGCTACACTTCACATTTCCCTGACTTTTATGAGTGCTCTAAGGCCTTGCTTCAGAACTAATAGTGTTGGCATCATATAGTGCACTTTGTGTCAGCTAGGTCACCCACCAACTTCTGCATAGCAAAAAGGATAAACGGGAATGTGGCAATTATTATAGCCAACCATACAATGGTCTACAATCAGTCAGGCTTGTGGCATTGCCAGAACTCTGAGTCAGCACTTCCAATCCACCCTAAACCAATCAGTCAGGTTAGGTAGCAAGTGGCGGTATGCTGAGTTATATGTCATCAGTGGTACATTTTTATTCTTTGCACCAGGAGGATCACGCGTTCGGTGATTAAGTGTATTATACTACGACTGCCATGCATCGCCATTTGGAGGAAGGTGGAGTTAAGTCTGTGCAGTCACCCTATAGAAGAAACTAAGGCTAAGTGATAGGACTTATGACTTATTATTGTCCTATTCTGATCTATCTGATATGTGATAAGGAAAATAATGCTAAAAAACAAGCAAATAGTTTTAGCATTAGCCTGAATTCATTCAACCTACCTGTCGATGAATAAAGACTACAGATCCCAGGAGCCTCCATGTTCCTCCCTGTCGATCCACATGCAGCATACGCAGTATTTGGAGGAAACGGATGCCCCTGCAACACACAACATCATCTCATCATCTCCTGATCCCTCTTACAGCTACATGTATCAGTAAGAAGTCAAATGCAGAACAAAACAGTCATTCTACCTGATGGCAGACGTGGCAAACACTTGGCCATTGGAACCTACACCAAGCACAATGATTGAGGCAAAGACCACTATCAAATCTGTAATGAAAGATAAAGACAGAAAAAAAAAATCAAATCAGGGTTGCAATCATTTCAGCTTCAAGGACACATTGTACTAAAGTAAAGCCTTACATGGCTTGAAATATCTAAGTTGTTGATCTACATGAACAATACATGACATCCGTTGTATTAAATGGGAGCAAAAGAAAATTCCAGGTGCACCTATGATTGCTATGGGCTTCCTGATAAAGCAGAGGCGTCCTTTGAAGCCTGCATATTTGTTGCGGCAGCCTGCCGACCACAGCCGGACCGCATACTCCGTGCCAAAGAACAGCACCAGCACAATCTCCTGTGGAGCACAATGCAAACACAGAGCAAGGGTTACATTAATCCATTGGTACAGCAACAATAATTGTAAAGCGCATGCAGGACGAGTGGATGTGGAAGTAGATAAGGTCTCATTATCTAAAAGCATTGATAACACTGTGCCTCACATTAAGACTAATCTCAAAGCATTAATCAATCACCAAGATTTACAATATGATATGAATGGGTAATGACAGGTGTGTGAGACAGAGACACTTAGGTGGTCTAGTAGTACTAAGACCACCCAACCACCCAGGAGGAAAAATGGAGGTTGATAACATGGCTGATGACAGCTCATATTGAGACAGGGTCAATGGCTAAGTGATTGAAGCCACAGGATGAAATGCTGTCACACTGCTGCCTCACAGATAAGAAGGCTAAACAATCAAATGCATTACTTGGACGATAAGATCTTGTTGTAATTGTAAATCTTTCTGCCACACTGCAGGATAAGATACTTGTGAAAAAAATGAGTGCTTGATTTTGAATTATAGTCATACGCACCTGCATATCAGTTCAGGTTGGTGCTTTTAGATTGTGTTCCAATATGTACCACTGTCCATTTGTTTTTTTATTATGTGCATACATGTGAGCCTCTGTGACTTAATAATGCCCGTCTGACGGGGATCGTTTTCCTGGCCACCGTGCATGCATAATATTTAGTCACTCTACTGTCTGTTAAAACCTAAGGCCATGTGGGTGGTCATCCCGCTGATTGCTTGAACTGGCTGCTCCCTGACCACCCCTTGTATGAAACTTAATACTATGAGCCCTGCTGCAATAACACAGCACCACAGAGCCCCTAAACAATGACCTGCCAATCAAATCAGACACTATTTTGGCTGGCAAAGATGTCAGCACAAAGAGAAAATGCACTGATCTATACATTTAGTACGGTAATACTTTTGCAACAGTACTATGAAAAACAACTTTTTAAATATGTATCAACCAAAGGCTTCCATCAAGGTTATCATGTGGATGGGGCAGCCAGATGGACAGATTCCTTTTGCTGCTCTCTGAATTTCTCAGTTTGCCCATTTTCATTAATTAATTATGTTTACAGCTTTGCGCTTGAGTTGCCTGGCCTGGGATTCCTATAACCCTCATTCATCCCCATGAATTGCTCATTTTCTGTCCCTGAGTTAAAGACAAAGAGAGGAGAATAAAGAGGCAGAAGTGAAGACAGACAGGCAGAAATGGTTCAGTAAATCTATATAACATAGCCTGATAATAAGACTGAATTACCATTTGGTTTTACTTTATTCATCTAAATTTGAATCACGTGTGCAGACATTCTGAGATCTGGAACCAAGATGACTATAACAACTCGACCAGCCAGCCATAGCCTTATTGTTTGTGTAGGAGAGTAACAGACTGTGTTTTAAGTCCCTGATGCTGTTTCTGTAATATAAGACTGTATAATCGGTTCTGACTGAAAGTCAATTTTCAATTTTGCTAACAGATGAGGTTTTATCTACAGTTCTTTGTATTCTGGACTATGCACAGTTTACTCACAAAGAAGGTGGGAACTTTTGATCGTTGCATCCTGTATACAAAGCTTCTGCTGTTGCCTTATAATTGGGGGGATAATATTATTGTGGATATAAGTATTCTATCAAACCTATAAGCAGACAGTAAGATCAAAACATCACCAATTCATCGAGTTCAGTAATTTTGACATATGGGTAACATTTGAAAGTCAAAGGAACGCATGAATTTGGGGAATTTGATGGGATTAGTCACAATAATTCCATAAATTGGGTCACCCAGATGTTGGGAAATTGTTGTATGTGTATCAGAAACTGGCAACTACGTGTTTACTGAAAACAGCCGCCTGTTCGAGCAGTGATAATCTCGTCAAACCAGACTAGGATGAAGCTCATTCAGAGAGCTGCTTGGGAATTACAATAACAGATAAAAAAAAAATGTGGTTAGATTGCTTCATCTGTGTGTACCAGGCACACAAAGTCACTTACATCTAGATTCACCTTCACAAAGCTTTTGAAGAAGACCTGGTCAGAAAAGACGATATAGAAGAGATCCATGTGTGCTTGTGTGCCTCCGGTCCAGTCTGGCCAGCTTTAGTTTGGCAGCTGCCCTGAAGGCCAAATATCCTAAAGGACTTATGTCCCCTCTGCCATCCAAAACAAGCAGCCTGTGATTCACAGATGTCAGCGAACCCTGAACTTTCTAAGTATAGCTACTACCACTACTATACGCCACAATGACACCATTCACTGGGCTCCACCCCCTCTATATATATATATATATATACACACACACACACACAGAAGATAAGGTACTATCTTATCTCACAATTTATATTGAACCAAAAGCATGAATTACTGTTTGACATGCTTACACACACACACACACACCCCAACACAGCCAGGTGTACAAATAGACAGGGTTTGACAAAAAAGAGAAAAGTCTAACAGTAGTTTTGTGTGCAGAAGTGTTTAATTTCTCTCTACATCTTTATGAGGCCGATTACTGCTGGCCTCTTGAGTAATGAAACAACAGAAAGAAAAGGTGGAGGGTGGAGAGAGAGATAGAGAAAGAGGGAAACCGAGAGTTAGAGATGAGAGAGAGTATTTGGCTCTTCTTGGGTGAAAATAAATGAATAACCACGACAGTAGGACTTCAAAGGGCACTGGCCAAAAGTTTACAGAAACACAGTGTCCACTCCGTCCACTGTTTGCCCCCGGGACCCAGGAGGTGGTACATGTGTGTCCGTGTGTGTGTGTGTGTGTGTGTGTGTGTCTGTACAGCTTTTGTGTAAACTGTGTGTGAGTGCACATTAGCTACATGTATATTGATAACCATTGTTCTGGCAAGAGACAGATGATGCAAGCTCTTTGTAGAGTTTCCAGCAGCAGCCAAAATTGTCTCTACCTGTTGAAAGCCCTGGATTTATTGCATCACTTAGCAGCCTTAATAGCCTAATAAGCCACAAAAAAAGGTTAATTTACCAGCAAGTACAGTCTGGAGGAGCCAAATGATTCTGCATAACAAGTGTCACCACTATAGGTTAAAAACAGTGACTCCTGAGCATTCCCACACTATTAATGTACAATATGTGCAAGTTACTTACTGTAAGGTGTTTTGGATGAATGCAATACAAGCTGCCAGGTGTTGTGTGATGTTATTTGCAATAACTGAAAGGGATTAGTCTTTTGAAGCTTTGTAATATCTTTGGGCTGAGGTGTAAGATGGCGGGTGGAGTCCCTCTCAGCCACGATCTTCTGTGTCCATCATGTGGATAGAGAAGGGTACTGCAGTGCAGTTATAATAGTATAAGCCAACTGTCACTCTTTGGTTCAGTTTCTCTTAAAAAAAAAAAAAAAAAGGTATAGAAATTGCATTAATATAAGAAAACTTACACAAGAAAATTCAAGGATGTCAAGGAAGCATCACTACATCCCTTCTGTCAATATAGGAGTAATAAAACCTTCATCAACTGATATATGTGCAATTATGTGGGCTGCGATTATTATTTTAATCGACTTAATAATAATAATAATAATAATAATAATAATAATAATAATAGCTTTGGTGGCTGTAAAGGTAGAATTAGTATTAGTATAGGTTTTTTTCTGATCTTCTGATTTTCATTATTATCGTGGTTATTATTATCACCAGTGCTTGTGGCCTGTATTCACTGTTCTTGTCTTCCTCTTGTTCTGTTTGTGATTTGTCTTTTGTCCTGCAATAAATATACATACAATAATAATTATAATAATCTATTTAATAATTGTTTCTTTTAGAATATGGGAAAAAGGAGAGGTTCCCACAGCCCATCTGACAATATAAAATGCTTGTTTTTCCCTTTTAAATGGTCCAAAACTTAAATAAAACAATTTACAGGGAAATTAAATACAAAAAAGGTAGAAAATCCTTATATTTGAGAAGATGAAACTGGTGAATGTTGGGGTTTTTGCTTGACAACAAATGCTAAAAATGGCCCATTTTCTGCCAATGAACTGAATTTATTGTTTAATGATGGTCATCAGGCATGTGTTTCTAAAGGCCCTACACACCAATGCATATTGATTATCAGTCTTTATTAAAACAAGGACCATGCACAAAAAAACATTAATCTCAAAAATATATTAAGTATAATGATTTAAGTCAGATCTATATATTCACTAGACATTAAATACAATCATTTACATGCAACACAATTCCATGTTCAGGGATTTAAGAGGACGCTTCTGGAGGTTGTAAGAGTTTTACGTTTGGGATATCAGCACAATGACAGTACTCACCATCCAGAAGAGTGTTCCAGTGGCGAACTCTGTATATTGCTCTATAGTAGACAGGACACTGAAGATTAGACACACCAGGACCATGATGAAGCTGCAGGGAGAGAAAACAATTCTTCAGGAAGTTATCAGCACATACTACTCACTGTTTGAGTCGCAAAAGAAAACAAAAAACTCATGCTTCCCCCAACCAGTCATGCAGTTTACGTCAATGTGATTAAACCATCGTTATTTTTCTCATCAATCTGCTTCTATTAAGAGCTGACAGGATGTTTCCGCGTTTATGTTTGAACATCTGGCACCAGCACAACTAAATGAAGGTAGAGGAAGCAGAGGTGGATAGAGGGAATTAAAGGGATTAAATTGAGAGTGAAGGCAAAGAGAAAAGGAGTAGGAGAGGAAGGATGGGGTGCAACTATTATCAATTCATCTGCAGATTACTTCTCGATTTATTGATTTGTCTTTTTTTAATAAAATGCCAGGGGAAAAAAGAAAATTGCCCCCTATAACTTCCAAGAGTCCTGGGTGACATTAAATTAGCTTGTTTCTTCCAACCAACAGACGTAAAGATACTCTGTTTACTATCACAGATGTAAAGAAAAGGAGCAAATTCTTACATTGGAGAAGCCAAAAACAGAGAATGTCATTAATTGATTACATAAACAGGTGCAGTTTAATAATCTACCAACCGTTTTAACTATTTGTTTCAGCTCTAGAGGAAAGAATTAGGACTATACCAGAGGGGAAAGAGAGGAAAGGAATAAAGTGAATATCTTTTTCGAACTTAGTTAGAAACAGTATTTTCTTCTTGAACCACTGCACTGTTCATTTACTCGTTAATTCTAAAATGTTAAAGAGGCTCATGCAGGGCTTTGCTTGGTCTCTCCCGACTCTGCAGGATTAAGAGCAGAGTCCGTTGTGTGCATTATCTCATTAATAATCCTTAGAACATATCTTTTAAGTGCTTTTACATGACATACTACAGTATGCGAGTGTTTGCATGCACCATCATCAGCATCATGACCAAGCTCACTTTAAAAACACACAGCAGTGGATGCATTATGATGCTGGGTACAGGGATTACAGGCCATATGCTGGAAGAGTTACGTAAGTGTCTGTTGTTTATCACTAGTCATGTAACCTATAAAATAATGCAGAAATGTAAGTACTCCCACGCTAAAGAGACTTTCAAATGTTGCATTCGCAGAGGCCGCCATCCTAGATGAGATTTTTAAATCGAATATGTCCAAAAGAGAAGCATGTTAGACATCCATGTGAGCCGCACCTGTTTATTGGACACCCGTGTGACCTAAGTTTATTTAAAGAAAGAGGTAAAGTTTGCTTTACTTAAAAGATCATGCTCATTTCTGGTCTCTCCGGTAGTAGAATGAGCGTAAGACAAAGTGGGGGGATGGAGGGTAACACTCCTGAAGGAGGATTCCCCTTGCACACAGACTGACACATGGGACAGATGGGACAGTGAGGATTACCGTTTACGACCAAACACACACACACACACACACACACACACACACACACACACACACACACACACACAGACATCTCTCCCACCCTCACTTTGATTCACAAATGCAAGCAAAAATGCATTAGAGCATTATGTTCTGAGAGTATTCCTGGACCTATAAGAAAGCCAATCATCAACAACAGGGTGAGCCGAGATGACGTCATCACCTCTGATTTAGTACAAGTGTCACATACTTTCATTTTGACTGAGGTGACCAAGGTGATACTCAACCCAGTGTGGCAATGAGGATGCTATAGTTTGGTTTGGATCTTCTATTTGCTCCACAAAAAGAAGACAGAATGTCCAACACTGAGATCAGTCACATGATGGAATGCTGCAGTGGCAGCTGGGGAAGCCAGTGAGATTTCATGGCTGGACAAGGCTTTGGTGCAGCGTCCTCGACATATGGGACTGGAAGATTTTAAGGTGTGCATGACAACTAAGAACTTACAGCCAATCCATCCCTCTGTAGGCCCTACAGTTCCGCTAAAAGCCAATTATTCAACACCCAGGACACCATGTAAATTCAAATAGGAAGAGGATAGGTTGTGCAAATGAGGAATGAGCCAGTTGTATTAAAGCAGTCATTAAGACAAGGCTGTAAAAGCAGTCATATTGCTCAATTTCAAAGATATAATGGAAAATATTGCACAGGAACTTGCGGACATTGATGAATATCACTGGTATCGCTGCATAAAACATCAAAGACCAGCTCTCTGCATTTAGCACTTTGCTGATCTTCATCACTTGCTGCTGCAACTGCCTCGTCAAGATTACCTCCTCCTATTGGTTGAAACTTCATTAGAATTAGTCACATGACAAAGATTTAATGTTTACAGGCAGGTGAAAATGAGGGCAGGTAAAGTAAACTCAAACCCCATTTCCTATGAGATCATCTTATTTGGATGATCATAAATTCAATTTCATAGTCATGTAGGCCATTGAGAAGGTCATGTAATCTGTGTGTTTTCCCTCAGCGCATGAGACTATAACATTTGTCCTGTTTTTGAAAGCACAACAGTGAAATGCAATACCCATGAGACTCCACATACAATGTGTCATAGAAGACCATTGACGGAAAGCTGTACTAGATTAGATTATAGTCTGTAGTAATGACTAATTGGATAGGACTATCGTGTTTGTTTGTTTTGGGTACAGTGAGCAGCATTTTACTTGCAGTGTTTCGTAATAGCAGACATTATCCACTGTTCTACTAAAGCTAGGAGGTTAGAGCATAAACATGCAAACAAAATGTTGCATATTTAAAGTTGTCATTTCTTCAAGTTTACCAACAGTTTCTCTGGAGACATTAAATGTTTCAAGGCTGTGCATTAAGTCAGGCTGTGTACAAACTAGACGAAGCATTTCCCTAAATGTCATATCCTGAAGCTTTCTGCATTGACACCATGGGGAGGTGTTTGCTGCGGACAGGACTGGGTCACTCACAACCATTAGCCAACCTTATTTAGCCAGGCCAAAACCCCTGGGATCTGATTAAAACAAAACAGCTGGGGCTTTAGCGAGTGTTATTGTCTGCAGATCTGTCCAGCTTGACTAAAATAAGTAAGGCGTAGAGCCATACCAAACCCTCTACTCAATCAGCTGGGAAACTATGGCAATATAAGCTTATAAGGGAACATCAACTATAAACAGACAGCGGGGACAATGCCATCTCAAAAGTGGGGGTGACAACAATGTGAAAGGTTCACACTTGCAGATTTGTGCATTGCGCATTCATAAATCGAGTATGCAAACTCACACATGTAGCCAATCAACAGTAGCACTGCAATGCTAATTGCACACATTTAGCTGTTGGGCCAAAGAGGCTGGTTGTGTATGATTACAAGTCATCAATACAGATGGTGCTACGCTAATCCAATCCAAATGATGTCTTAACCTTAATCTCATTCAACCCAGCAGTGGATAACAGGTTGTGCCGTCATAAATCGGACCGTCTGATAAAACACCAGCTTACACTTGCAAACTATCTCAACCTCATCTTAAGTCATTAGAACTCCAGCTTTAAGATCCTACATCTACTTGCCTTTGCACAATTCACTCATTTCTCAGCCACACAAATAAAGGTCAAATAAAGAAGTACATTGTAAAATGTTGTTTTACAATTAGGTGGTCTGTTTAAGCGGACGCCTATGCCGCTGCAATGCTGCTCAGTTAGCAGATGATACCACTGCTATGCTGCTCCTATAAAAACAAAAATGTGCCCAATCTCTGGCCCAGCAACCAGCTGTAAACAATGAGTCAAATACAAGTATAAACTTTGTACTGTCTGCATACTTGTGCTCCCTTAATAAATCTGCCCAATGCGAGTTGGCAGACTTCCAGAATTCCCATAATGTTTACGTATTTGTTTTGGGACTAAACACCTCTGCATTCTGTGTCTGCTTCTGAGACTGCTTCTTCAAAAACGTGCTTGTGACTTAAACAAGCACAAAGGTCATTGCCCTGTCCATCACTGCTAGCAAGCACGGTCAGAGACAGAGAGGGAGCTGCCCTCCACAACCCTCTTTACTGGCCCCCCCTCCCCATCCCATCCATGGAAGAGCTTAGGATGGATTACACCGCATCTGCCACCAGTCACAAACATGGATATTCCATCCTGGCTTAGCTATCATCTTGTCCACCAAATGCTTGGGGAAAAAAAGAGGTAAATCAACTTACAGGTTGCAGGGCAAAGTTAATGAAAAGAGAAACAGTTAGGAGGGGTATCACACTATAGAAGCAGTGTCATTCACAACTAGCAACTTCGCTAAATGCATGTCGGATACAGCATCACCTTGAATTCAGTTGTACAGTTACACACCATTGGAAGTATACAAGATATGTACCAACTGCAAACGGCACAAAGGACGGCCAAGACAATGAGAGGTGCAAAAATAATATCCATAACTTAAATCTTCTTGGAGGTTGATAACTGACAAGTATGTAAAGGTTTAGAGCCGACACGAATACTTTTATTGACAAGACTAATTGGAATTAGCAAAATATTCCTTGAACTCAAGGTTTAAATTTAAGCTAAAATTGTATATTATGCATTCTGTTCATCTTAGGATAGAATTTACTTTGTAATGCAATGGATCATGTCAGTATTTTAATAGCAATCTTTTATTCTTTAATTCAGGAGCAGCAGTCCCCTTTATAGGCTGCTTACAAGTTGAAGTGCAACAGATTAAGATCTGCATGTGCATTGGTTGTTGAAACATTTCATGTATATTAAAAGGAGAAATGACTAAATAAAATGCTATTATGATAACAGTTATCTTTTTAGTTTCTTTTAATATTGCACTCTGACTTTTTAAATTGTTAAACCTGTTGGACAAATTCCTGAAGCAAAAAGGGTCAAAAGACAATGGACTTCGCATTATGAAATATGCCCCAGCGTACATCATTCACTGAGAAATGGACGTGACCCATACAGTTCTCTTCATTCAGTCAGTAATCTCTTGTAAGCAGATATCCAACACGAGGTTTCCTTTCTGCCCTTTCCACATAGATGGAGGGGATTCACTATCGCCATTTCAATAATCTGTCCAGATATAAAAACACACAACAGAACCAAGTACTCCAGACAACATCTGGCCAGCTGCATCTTCACCAGGATAAACGGGTGCAATTCTTCCTCCACTGCAAACTGGTCGTGGTGTAATGACGCCACAGTAGAAATTCCCCTTCATGAGACGATCACATTTTGATTACAGCCACTGCAAATGAAAATATTGAGGTCGTTTTTTTTAACAGTCAGTAAGATAATCTCTCTTTCTTCTACTGTTTTAGCTCTTGATTTTGTCTCAAAATAATTTACGTGTCTACTTAAATGAAGATGTATGGTTGTAATCTGCTTCCAGTTTGAGCAAGAAGGGCAATCATGTGGACATGCATGTTCATTCCTTTTGGTTATGTAAAAGAATCCAGAGGGAGTGGCCCAAACGTGAAGGGGATCATAGCCCCAGGTTGTCTCTGTGCTGGTGAGACTGCATGCCATTGCATAAGACTCTTTTCGGGCACTCTTATCATATGCTGTCCCGAGCCCAAGGGATTTCTACCCACTCTGACTAAACTCTGTCGTCAGAGTGACATGTGCGTGTACGTTTGTGTGTCTGTCGGTTAGACAAACGTGACATTTCATATATAATACATTAATTTGTTAAAACATGTATTAATAATTGATTGTTTTCCAACATCAAGAGGAGACCGAATGCTGCCCGATGACCCCGAAATAAAGTCCGTAACTGTATATGCTTAAGTTCATCAAATAAATCATTTATATTTGAATTAGTTTTATGCTATGAATTCTTCATTAAATAACGATGATGTATGTAAAGCACTAATCTAAAAAGAAAGTTAACAAAATAGGAAGATAACCACATTTCTCTCAATGTGCCGAAGTTAATATAAATCCACATGAAAACTTTTTATCTGTTTGGGTTTCAAATGGGTTTTTCCAAATGAGTATTGCAAAAGAAATAAAACCCTCTTTTCAAACAAAACAAAACAAATCGGTCAAATGCATGAGGACTCACTGAAAGGGTGTTTGTGTACACATTCGATGCACATATGCGTACATTGTGCAAGTATTAATTTGTGACAACTGTCTCCCCGTTGATGTGTGTGTGTTCTCCCATTACGCTACCCGTTGATTGGACAGATGTTCCGACACAGCCAGATGCAGTGTTGACGAGTGCATTTTCAGATTTATAAGCACGATAACGGCAGCAGTGAATTGAGCGTTGACCTGTGCGTGCATGGTTCGTCAGTGTGTCATCCTAATGTAGAGCAGGCCTATTAGGCCTATCACGAGTGCTGCATGCGGCCTGTTAGGAGTCTCTTTTTCCCTGCCAATCTCTAAAGAGGCCAGGAGAATAGATGGCCACCAGCGATAACCATCGACAAGTAAGAGTTACTTAAAGGAGTGTTGACGAGGATCAGTCAGAGGGGTTTAATATTAAATGAAGCACAGGCTCAGGTTCTCTCTCCTCTGTGAGGGGAGAACATTAGAGCCTCAATTACTGCTGGGACGAGTTATCAGCAAGGCAGGGCACACAAAACACATTTACAAACAGGACAACAGAGGATCCCCGCTCTGTTTCCACTCCTTTGACTGACAAAGGTAATATCTTAATGAGACTGACTAACTCTACTTCTCTTCAAGCACAATTTCACGTGGACAAAGCTGAAAAGTGGTCGGAGTAGCTGCCATGTTTAATGACTACACATTAGGCCTGGATTATGTTTAAAGGATGAGGTAATTTGAAGGAAGCTGAGCTGAAGCGCTGTAGAGGGAGATGAATACGTTTGGAAAATGGATTATTTGGGAGGAGCGGGACCTTTAGGAGGTGCAGGCATTGAGATTGTTGCAAGACGTTGCACAGAACGCAAAACACTCCTGGTTAGTCTCGGCCAGAGCTGCATAACTGCTGAATCATGACCCAAAAGTGAGATGCTTTGAAGGTTTAAATTTAAATATATATCTATATAAATTAACTTCTATACCTTAACTATTAGGTTTTAACATTTACCTTTACTGTTCGTAACAATAGGCAACTACAGTGGAAAAAAAAAACACATGGAAACTTACTACTCAGGTGTAATGGCTACTGTGATGTCATTTATGTGACAAAATGATCTTTATACAGTATGTTGTAATATTGTTAGAGTTTGTACACAAAAGGATTTTACTTCCCATTACAGTGTGACCTTGATGAAAGTAATTTAACCGAATGCAATGAAGTACTCAGGACACCTCTCTGTGCTCTGGTTAACCTGTGCTGGGCTCAAGTCTACTTAGGCACAACATGATATATGGTGGGTGCCTTTCAGTCAATTAATGACCCAGTTTAAGATGCATGTGTAATTATAGCAGCAGCAACTAATGCTCCTAACAACCTTTCAAAGTGAGTTGGTATCAGGCGGGTCAGGATGCGGTATTAGCATGCTTTTACTGTACTCAAACCACACATAGTCACGGGGAAAATGAAATAGAAAAACACAGTCATCTGCGGCTTTAAGGGAGCAAAATAATGCCTCCAAACACAGAACTTAGCATCTATACTGTCTGTGTTTGTGTACTATTACACACAAACGGGGGGGGGGGGGTCCAAATTAACCCTACCATTTCCTGAAAAACATTCTTTTGGATTTATTTGACTCACTGTTCAGTGGAATGTAAAAGAGTTCAGTAGACGCCCGTCACTTGAACTTCTATTATTATCATTCATATTTTCATCTAATCTGGTCTAAATCCATGGGCTCAGGGCTTACTGTGACATCTGGGACCACATTGTGGGATACCAGATGATTCTTTAGTCACATGTTAGGAGGGTATTCTTGGTCATGAAAGAGTTAGATTTTCACTTTTGCAAAAAGGGAAGCTAACTCAAATGTATCTCACCATCATTATATTATTCATCACAAACACTCACTTCTTGAATTGGGTAAATTATTTTGATTAAATGAATGTGAAAATGTGCAAAACATATTTGAGTAAAAAGACATACATGAAGCCAGATTTTAAAATATTTACTTTTGTTTTTCAATATATTACTTAGATATTAAGCACTTGCTGGCCATGAAAACATATGGAAGTAGGATACAATTCATTAAAAGTTTTACTATATATATATATTTTTTATTTCCACTAGTTTTTTAACTAAAAACTGGGCAGTTAATAAAAAGATGCAAGCAGTGTTTTAACTGCAGGTCAGTGTGGGTTTCTGGCAGGTCAGGTTAGCAGCATCAAGAAGGACGTTCCGTGATTCATGGATGTGGTTGCTGATATGTTGACTGTGAGGAAGAGCAAAATAGACTGAGCTTATCAGTGCCAAAAGTGTGGTTGACCAGGTCGCACTGACCTGCTCCTGTTGGGCCATCTTAAAACAACCGCAGACAGCCAGCAGGCCTCTCCCTTTGTTACTGGGAACCAGAACCAAATACTGGAAGGAGCCGCACTAGATGCAATTAACGAGAGAGGGCCTGGAGCTAACGGAGAGACACCACACAGACCTGTGTTTGAAGTTAGACACTCAACGAGACTGTTAACCGAACAGCTTTTAGCACGTCCATCAAAGTCTTAACATGTTGAGGAATAAAGCCTTATGATTGTTAGGGTTCTCGTGAAGGCTTTTGCTCCTAATAATGTTTATTTACTCTGATTCAGCATTTTGAGCCTTACACATGCTCGTCAGTGTTTATGGTTCTCTGTAACTATGTCTACTCATTCAGCACTGCTGCCAAACTGACTCGCAGTCTGTTGCTGTAATCAGTACACACAGAACCAGACAGGTACTCACACGAGGAAGTGGTAGAGGAAGCATCTTATTCCAGCAGGCCTCTCTAGGAAGTTGTAAACATCCCCCTGCATGCTAGTCTTGGTGTACGGGCTCTGGAATTGCTTTTGATGATGACGCATCCAGCTCGAACGAGGGAGAGTCAGAGGGACAGAGGTGATGGAGGGCTCGCCAAGTATGGACGGAAGCACTGGGATATTTGTGTCCGCTGGTGGATAGCAGGGAATGCCTGATCCATTATTCCCCGCTGTGGGGTCCAGCTCCAGTGAAACGGGAGAGTAGGAGCTTCTGTCAGCAGCAGGAGCCCGTAGGGTAGAACTGGAGGATGTAGTGCCGGTGGAGGTCGCGGGGTCAGCGTCCATCTCCTGGTCCAGGCTGAGGTTGAGGCTCGTGCCGCCATATCCATTGGGTCTGCAACTTATGAAGGAGCTCCCCATCCTGCTGCCATAGTCGCGTTGCACGTGGCACGTCATGTGAAAGGACTGTGCACGTCTTTCCTCCATGGTCCGGTTCAGAGACAGGCCAGGGACATCCCTGAGGTCAACCAAGAGTCAGGTAGAAGGGTTGAGTCCGGCCGGATGAGACCCTAGGCATGGCTAGCTACCCGCTGCAGACAGGAGCCCTCTCTGCTGCACTGCATGTGTGTCCATACCTGCAGGGGAAGAGGTGACATGAGTCATGGAGATAGTATGACTGAAAGTAAGCCCTGCCCTCCACGGCAAGGGCCTTGTTAATTGAGTCATTAAAGATGCAAGACATGGACACTCGAGTTTGTTTAACGTTTAGTTTGCTGAACCGCCATTACTATTTTACACCAACAACAGCATTATCTATTACCTGGGTCAAACTGCAATTGTTGACAAGATTATTAACACAGCACACTGTATTTCCAAATAACTCTGAATTTAATGTTCTTGAACAGTTTGAAGCTACTAAATAAACATCTGCTATTGTAACATATGGCATCCCAGCATAGAAGAAAAATACTGTTACTCCAGATTATCATCAGATTGTAATCTGGTAAATGCTAAAGGTGGTTCCCCTCAGCATGTTACTTCTGAACTGTCGTCATACGTGGATCAGAGACGACCCGTTTGTGATTTTAGGGCACTGATGCCGATTAGAGCTTTCCGTCATGTAACGGTCCGGTGTAAGGAGTCGTAGAAACATTTCTATGAACTTTTGAAAATTGTTGTACAAGTAGGCTATTACACTGCGATTTACGACCGGTGACAATAATACAAGCACAAAATACTTCCAAAATATAATCATACACAAGTTAATGTGGCAGAGACAGGTCTGCACACGAGTCCATTTCCTCTCTGTGAGGATTTACTGTGAAACCTGCTGCGTCGTCCCTGATGGATGTCAAGCCCGGAAATGTTTCCCATCTGGTAAACTAAAACAAATGTGCAACAAGCACTCTGCTAACATTTAGAAGAAGAAAAAATTATAATCCAGCTTGACCAGGCTACAACAAATTTTAACAGTTACAGACGTCACATCACAGAGGTTTAAAAAAGCGTGCAGGAAGAAGAGAATTAGACTGATTAAAACTGGACAGTTACAGCCACGTGACTGATTGTTTTGCAGCTCGTCTCTCATATTTCTCTCAGTTTTCTGAGAAAGACTTCAAGCGGCTAGTCACAATCAAACACTGCATGTTTGTATTATGACAAAATCTCCACTGCTTGCCTTTGGACATAGGTGTTATTTGCCAAAACACTACTTAAATCTATATCAACAACAACAAGAGATGTAAAAGATAAAGAAAAGTGTGTGCAAAGGGAGCAGCATATCAGCAACACATCCTAATTCGTGTGTTTAATATCTATTCCTCATGTCTGCAAATGTAACCAAGTCTGGACAGTGTGTCAATTTGACAAAAACACTTTCCATCTAGTCAAAGCAATTCTACTCCCTGCTGGCATATGCACAATTAATTAGTGTATCAAAGGGTTGGTAGGCGCGTCACTGTCTTCTCTGGAAAGACACCTAACCAGTGTGATAAATGGCCGGATGTTGCCCAACAGGTTAGGAAAAACAGCATCATGGGACAAGTGAGGAGGGCTAATTGGGGGCAAGTCCCCCCCACCCCGTCCGTATCTGTCCTCAGCCATCGATGAACTGATGACAGGGGCCACATGTGCTGTCTCCCTGTAGATAGAGTTTCTGACTTTAAAGCTGCACAGTCATGAGACACGCAATGAACTGTCAGACACGCACAGGCTGCTGTGGGACTCTACAGTTACAAGAGTATTGTTTGCCTTTCCGTTAAACTGAACCGACCCTGTCACGGGGACAGCCAAAACAAATGGAATGACAGCAACGTGAAATAAATTAGGAACATTTAGCTTCCGATCCCTAAAAACTCCACCTTTTTCCCTTTTCCACCTGCTTAAGCACTCAAATAAAGAGCAGGCTGTGGTCTGTTAAATGATGCTGCAAAATCAAGAACATGTTATGTCAATATTTGCAGCAATTAATGCTACACGCTGATGTTCGCAGCTGAGCCCTTCAAGAATTACGCTTAACAAGTTAAACAATATGTCAAACTAGCGTGTCACATCTTACCTTTGAATCCAGAAACACACATCAAGTTGTAATCGGTGGTAAATAAATAGAAAATATCTCAGAAGCAGGCAACAAGTTCACCTTTATTTATTTTTAAATGAATAAAATATTGTCATATAATCTCCAAAATTAAACAAGTAAGAATTCGTCTTCCAGCGCAACAAAATTAAACCCTAACATCGAAAATACACTGAGAGGAGAAGTCTTTCATCGGCTGCTGCCTGCAGGACTCGTCTCTTTGAAGTGCATCGCAGCCTGTGCCTGCACAAACGCTGCGTTCAAGGGTTATGGGACATTTTGTAATCGCAACATGAGCGACCAACAAAGTGGTATCCTGTCCATTTTATATACTATCTACAATTACTAACAAGTAGCCAACGTGCAAATGTCTACAACATATGTAAAGAAATAAAATAAAAAATAATTTCTGTATAATTTATGATTATGAGCTTATTATTTGTGATAACTTGCCAATGTATGAATCCGGAATGTGAATTTGTGTCAGGTTGTATTTTTTAACTGTATTAGGGTTGCAGCTAACATTTAATTCTACATTATTATTATTCTAATTGATCAAATAATGATTTAAAAATGACCTGTCATGAATCCCCAGTGCCCAAAATGATGCCTTCAAATGTCTTGTGCTGTCCATCCAACCGTTCAAAGCCCAAATATATTTACAATAATATAAAACAATAAACAACCACCAAATCTTCATATTGGAGAAGCCTAAAGCAGCAAAGTCATTGTTGACATATATGACTTCAATGTCAACCCTAATGCTGATTCAGCATTCCAAGTATTGTTCTTCTAATCTTTATTTTTCCAATTCTTCCATACATTTTTTGGCACGCTTCTTTTTCTACATTTTTTAAGAAACCGTTCAACTATAAAAATGCTCTTTAAGGATATGCCTGCTGTTTCTAACCTTTAAACTTTTTGATATCTTTTACACTTTTTGAACTATCGCATTTTAACTTTTATGATTTTTTTTCAGTCCTTTTCTGAATTTGTTTAATTTCATTTCATTTCATTTCTCATCTGTTCTACCTCCTTAGCAATTAGAAAGATTCAGACTGTCTGTTTCTTTTTTTTTATTTTTGAAAAACATATTTTTTAGCAGGTAAATTGATGTTATTGTTGTAATACTCATTTTGGCCACAACAGGCTGAAGTACTCCTCTACCTCATGTTCTAAATACGACTAAAATAAATCATGTTTTCTACTTTACAACTGGAAGAAATGCACAATGATGCATGCACCTTGTGTTTAAACTCACCTGGAAGAAATTATGTTCTGCAGTTTAATGCTTTTGGCCTTCAACATTTTTCAGACAAGTGGTCTCCCATATCTGTATTTTCAGCAATTTTTTTGCGATTCATTTCAGCTTTCAGCATTCCAACGCATTTTCTGCAGGAAATGCATTTTCTGGTTACTTTAAATTGAGCCCTCATGGTGCATAATGCTAAATAAAGTTAGCATGCAGTCAACTGTGACATATGACTCAACATAACTATTTTGTACCCACTTGGCCTTTAGCATCGTTTTATAAGTGAAGATGAAACCGGGTCCATACCTGAGTAGCCTAATGTAAGAACAGGAACCCCATGAAATAAACATGCGTTTTTTATTTATGCCTTGCATTTCTAACACATCCCTGCCACTTTCTCAAATATAAGTGAACTCTGAGTGCTAATCCACCCGCAGTTGACATTACACATTTTAACTATGTCCAACCTGGTTTTAACCGAAAACACTAACTTATGGTTTGCCTCACTCTCACGTTTGCGTGGCTGTGTTTTCACATCATGAATCATTTTAAATAGTCTGCCATTTTTTGCACGTGCTACTTTGGAAAGGTGGTTTTACAGCAGCATTTGAACGCACCACATGTGCCAAACAGCAGCAGCTGATGGGTGGCAGCGGCAGGTCACACGTGCATGGTCGTGCACTAGCGTCAATAAGAATGGAAATAGTCTCTTGCATTTATTTCTGACCAAAATTATTTTCAGTGCTTCTTTGTTGTAGTATTAAAACCCGGATGCAGTCCCATCATACATCACGAGCTGTGCTTCCACGCCTGTGTTGACCTGTAGGGGGCACTAAACACTCACTCTGCGCCAAGTCAACACGTTTTGCAATACCTCATAGCTTGTCCCTCGCTGGTTTCCGTAGTCATTGGGAAAAACATGGCTTCACACACAAGCAAGGCATTTCTGTCGCTAGGTCGAATAAATGCTTCTGGTCTTGGACTGCAGAGACCAGTAAGCAGAGTCACATACGCGACGGATTCGTCTGTAAATGCTTCTGCTGGAAATAAAGGTGAGTTTCATTCGTGCTTCACGCGAGGATAACAGCTTGAGTTGCAGTTACCAAGGCCATGTCAAGGTACCTCCTGTCCTGTGACAGAGATGTGCTTTTGTAGTCAGAGTGTCTAAACTTGACTGGTGAGCAGCTGTGGGGTTTGTGGGGTGTGGGACGTTTTCAGGGGTTCTTGTGTGGGGGTCCCTGTGTCTATTTTATTAGTTCATTGTCACTTGCTGCATGACAGGTTTCTCTCTTCCCATCATAATCTACCCACAGTAGAATCAGAATAGATCAGCAAAAGAAGTGCAATGACAGATAAAGGATAAAGAACTAGATAGTATAGCGATTAACAGTTCATCTGCTCAGAAGTGTTCCTTTTTTAATCAATCCATCGTTTGGTCTCAAAGAAAATGTTGATTCCACAAAACCAAATGAATCATAAAAGGCAGCAGATGCTCACAATTAAAAAGCTAGAACTATTAACTCATCCTGTTATTTGTCTGCACCTTGATAAATATGTCAAATTAACGAATTTTCAGCTCTTATTTACTCTACATGGTACAACGAAAAGCATGATAATAAATAACACAGTATATCATGCGGTACATATTGTGAAATACACCTATCACATACACCAAATGTGTGTGTGTGTGTGTGTGTGTGTGTGTGTAAACTTGCAACATTGTGAGTTTTAGGCCTTCCTGATAGAGGCGGTAGAGGATTCTTGAGAAGACCCAGGAGAACTGTAAGTGTGCAGCTTTTACGTAGGTTTAATACATCAGGATGCACACATTTCAAATGAGACGAGACGTTTCCCAATTTAAAAAGACGCTTCCTTTGTCTTCCGTGTTGTTTTTTGCAGGCAGGGGAGCCCAGGACAGAAAAGATGCCGGTGGATCAGGACTGGACTGCAGTCTATCCAGCAGCAGCCATCTTCAGACCGAGCTCCGTCCCCCTGCCTGTGAGGATGGGCTACCCTGTGAGGGGGGGCGTTCCTCCAGAGAGGAAGGGCAACTTGGAGCTGATCAAGGTCAGACCACGTGCATACAACCTAAAACTACAAACACACAAGGGTGTTTGTAGTTTTAGGAAGTGGACACTGAGTTGTAGCGCTGTTCCCACATGGTTCAACAGATTAAAATCCTCTGCAGAATAAATGTGGCAACCATGCAGTTAACTGCAGTCTGTATCTGCATGCATCCTATGTCTATACTTCAGCGTTTACCTCCCAGTATTCATTGTGAGGAGTTAGTTGTTGCCAGACGATCTTCCAGCGTTACTGATGGAGCGGGCTTTGCTCTGTCTCTGCGCCCGGATTACTGAGCTGCTGTGTCCAGACACCAGCAGCTGCTCCACCTGGACTCGAGCCACTTGCAGATCCACTACTTTCGCCCGCCACAGCTGGAACTCTGCCGTGCAGCCTAACGACATTGATTTCATTAGTCAGATCAGCCACGAGCGGTCAACCTGCTGTGCATCCCTTTATGTTTGATGTTTTTTTTTACTTTTTAATCTTAACTCATAGATGTTTTGTCCAAACACAAGCCAACATTTTTGGATTATGAGAAATGTATTTTAATGTCAATATAGAATTATATAATTGCGTGTGTTAAATAATGAACACGCCCTTAACCAATGTATTCTGAAATCTAGCATAAAATGCATATAGTCATGAAAATGTTATGTGTGAGTTTTGCTTTACTGGGATGTACATATTTAGACTTCAGGACATTTTCATATTTCTGTTTTATGAACAGTTGCATTTTTACATTCACATAATCTCTCGCTCATCTCTTTCAGATACCAAATTTTCTGCATTTGACACCGGCGGCCATCAAGAAACACTGTGAAGCTCTGAAACGTAATTTATGTTTTTCATTTTAAAACGTTGTGAAGCTCTGAAACACAATTCATTTATTTATTTTTATTATTGTAAAACGAAAAACACTCTCATTCGCCTCATTTTGTGTCCAGCCTTCTGTACAGAGTGGCCCTCTGCCTTGGACACCGACGCCAGATGTGACGAGCTCTTTCCCATCAAAGTAGAAAGCACAGACTACGTGGCCGACGGCCCGTCCGTCCGAAACCCTTCAGCTCGCGTCGTTCACCTCAAAGTAAGTTTCCGTTCTTTAGTCTTTGCAGTTTCTATAAAAAGGTTTTTTCGACAGGTTTTAACCCGATGACCTGCTTCAACTGGGTTCCATCGACGTATAGCAAGACGTGTGGAGAGAAACCGGATCTGGAATGAGATTAGAGATTTACAGAGACGCGTAATCACCAGCTGCCGTCATGTCCCTGACTTATCCAGAGAGACGTTCTTTGTCCTCAAACATAAGAAGTTATGCTGTTACGTAACATATGCCATCAAGAGATTACAGCCCTATAGAAGCATTTCATATGTGAGCATGTGCTGAAGCTCTGTTGTTGTTCTCGTTCTTTGGAAAAGGTGTTTTTGACAAACATTACTTTCACAGAAAATAGTAACGAAACATCTCATCTTTGACAAAATGTCCCACATGTTGATATTCCTCTTAATCCCCCCCACTACCGCTAATCCAGCCGCGTGCAATCCTCCCCACAGACCAGAACCACTCATGTAAACAAGTACCAACAAGAAGCCATGGAAGACAAGATTCACACTTGTGTTTTCAAGACGTTATCAAATACAATATAGGATTGGTGCAACAGATTAAGCAGAGATTTTCCACACGGGTCATATTACTTCTGTGTGCAGGTGTCGGCCTCGTTGTTTCACATGTTGATAGAACTGAGCGATACCGGTTTCTTGGTGGCTGAAACGTTCCTCGTCTGGCTTCCCTTTGTCAAAGAAAGCTGTCGAAAGCCGTTCTATTTCATTCTGAACTGCTCGAGTTGGTTTCCACATGTTAACAGTAATGGTGGTCTGCCAACATCTTTTCTTGGACGAGGCTGCATCCTGCTTTGTAAACTCTGGAATTCAAACTGCCTTTTGAGAAATCTGTCATTTTCGCCATTAATCAGCAGCCATCTGCTCCACTGACACTGCCTTAGATTACAATCAGCACGGTGGGAATTATTCAGACATTAATCCATGTGGATTAGGCCGAAAAATAGGTCAGAGGGCAAATCTCTCACAGTTTCAGTTCAACAAAAATGCATTTCATCTTTTGAATGACGAATGTGTGCAGTAGGGTTGCCTGAAGTTATTCATTCGTTAATTTAGACGGGAAGAAAATCCTGTAAACTAAATCTGTGGCAGTTTGATCCAGACTCAACAAACTTAACTGCTTTCTAGTACGAGCCGAGGCTTACTTTGTATTGCGTATTTTTGTTGCATTGAACAAATTATATAAGTCAAATCTCATGAAAAACAGAGTATTAAAGGAGTAATCTGTTTTTTTCCATCCATCCTTTGTGTTTAGGGGCTTAGAGATTATTCTGAGTGCCAGCACGTGTACAGTTGTAATATTTAAATCTATACAGTCAAAGCTCTGTATAGGTTAAATAAGGTTTAATTGAATCTGACGAGAGAGGGATTCCGGCAGGAGATACAGCACATAATGAAATCCCATCTGCTCTTATCTTCTAGTCTGAGTATTTCTCTTTACATTGCAAAGCTTCATGTGGAAAAACAGGTGCCTAAACTATGTCTCTTGTGGTAATCTAATCACGTCGTTGCCGTCGCAGGTAAAGCTGTCCAGTTTGAATCTGGACGACCACGCACGCAAGAAAATGCTCAAACTTGCCGGGAAGAGATACTGCAAAGATACCAATGTACTCACCATCGCAGCCGACAGGTAAGCACTCCTTCACAAAGCTTCCATATGACTGATCATCAAGTGAGGGAATGACACAAATGCTCTGAATCTCTTCACCTTTTGTCTTTTCCTCGCCTCCCTCTACCAGCTGCCCATTGAGACAGCAGAATCAGGACTACGCCATGTACCTGCTCACTGTCCTTTACCACGAGTCTTGGGTGAGTTGAAAGTATTTGTTTTTTGACATTGAGCAGGCACCGTCACTTCAATGTGTTCCCCCTTTTTGAGAGGTTTCTTTGAGATCAGAGGAATGATATCCAGCATGCAAATGAACAAAGCATCACGGTGCCTGCATTAACTGCAGGGCCCTTTGTTGATGTATTCTGTGTAGAATTGTTCTGATATCGATGCCAGTATCGGGAATTCCTCCGATACAGCCTAAAATGCTGGATTCAGGTATCGGCGATATTAAGTTAAGTTTTCATATCAGTTATCGGCTCATTTACGCTACACACGAACAACAACAATACAACATTTTAAAGTTTTATGGCATTTATCCTCTGTCATATCACATCCATACAGGGTTAGAATTATACAGCTGTTAGAAAATAATATATTTAGCTTTTTAACGTACTGGTATCAGAGTGATACTCGGTATCGACTGATAGTTCAGATATCAGAATTGGTGTCAGAAGAAGAAAGAATCGTATTGGACGATAATTATTATAATTGATCAGCGTAAAGCTACTGTTAGCAAAGTTATTAAACTAAAGGTGTTCTATGAATTAAGTAAAAATAATGCTTTTGAATAACAGGGTGGGCAGGAAGACTACTTTTGTCTTTTTTTTAGATATTTATTAATATATTTATGACCAAATGCACATAGGTTTTTTTTAATCTTATAGCCTTTGCCTTTTAGTTTTGTGATTACCATGTTTTTATTGTTTTTTTTGGTGACATTTACATACAGCTAGCGACACGGCCCACTAGCTTTTATCAGAGGAATTCATGTCCATCTTGCTCTGCGATCCGAGAGCCTGAGCCCATTAGGGAGGTATCAGACCTGAATGGGCAGAAGGACGGCAAACAGCCGCATTGTCCAGTTGACATTTCTCCACAGATTGGGGGATAACAGACCACCCTATCAGGTGTTGACCCTGATACTGTTTATTCACATTAAGCCAGCCATGCCACATCAGGGAAGTCTTTCACCAGGTCATTAGCCCAGGCTCTCTCTGTTGCAGCCAGCCACGAAAAAGAAAATGACTCCCCTTGTGCAACCTTTGCCATTAGCAGCTTTTCATGGCTTAGCCACATAAAATAAAAAAAAAGGTTCTCTCAGTTGGAGAAGGTGTTCGAGCCAGTGCGCAGAACACCGTCCGCTGCCCTTTTGGACACACAATGGAAGGCACAGTGCTCGTCCGGCAGGCTTGTGGAAGTTGTGAGAGTGGTGTAGCGATCAGGTTGTAACGCTAGCCCACAAAGAGGCCCATTGTCAGCAGCCACTGAGGTGAGTTTATCTCCCCACTCAGGGAGACGGACCTTCCCTGCTAATTCCAGTTTGTGCTAATCCAGAGCAGCGCTGGGGCTGACTGCTCAAAGCTGCCTCCGACACGGAGGGAAGTTCACCGCTGGAGGGACTCCATCGGCGTTTGTGCCGTCATGCCCAACGCCTGTCCCGTCACCGAACTGAGAATATAAGCGTTGTTTTGCAGGGACGGAACTCGCTCGGGTTATCAGATATTCCGTCTGTTGACCAAACTACTCAGTGATGGATGCAAGGACAGACATGGTGTCACTGATGTCAACACTTGTATTATTTTGCACCCACAACAGCATCAGGAAGAAGGTTGGATCATTGCCAGTGCAGTTTGATTTAGTATGACTCAACTTTCTCTTTAAATGTTACAGCCTCAATGTATGAGGATTATCTTTCTTTATCTAAAAATCTAATGTTTATTTGTTTAGTAGGCCTTCATTACTTCAAAAGGAAGCTACTGATCTGTTCCCAAGTATCTAGTGCTCCTCACTCACAAGGGCCTGGACTTGTTCCAGACGGGACGTGATGCGGATCAGATATGTATCTCGGTAATGATGGTCATTAACCTCAAACACCTGGAGAGCAGCAGCGCTGAGGGCTCCGTCGCTGCCCTGCTTTAAACTGCTGCACAATGGGGCGCATTGTTCTCTCGGGAATGTGACGACGGGCAGCGGAGGGAGCACTACATGTGGAGAAACACTATCTCTGTGAGAGGAGCATCAAAGAAGGGGTGACCAAGGAGCCCCATATTTTACAGCTGTTGCCATAATGAGCCTGAGCCAGATCCCCAAAAAAAAGAAAATTCTTATCGTTGCATGGTCTTTCTACCCTGCAGGACAAAACAAACCTCTTCCACAATAATACACACATACAGTTCAGATGTAATGCTACAGACAACCCTGTTTTCAGTTCTCAGTCTGCGTGTAAAGGTAACGATTGCGTTTCGTTTTGCTCCTTCAGAAAACGGAGACCTGGGAGGCTGAGAAGACCCTGGCAGACATGGAGGAGTACAGCTGGGACGACAGCCCGTCCCAAAGGAATGTCTTGGATATGCTAGTACGCATGAAAGCGGCCGGGGAAGGAGAAGGCGAGGAAGTGCGAGAGCAGCTGCTGGGTAGAAGAGAGGTGCAGGAGTACAAGGACTCCGTCACCAGGTTGAAGAATGAAGGAGAGAGCGAGAGCACCATGCTGCAGTACAAAGAGGCCGTCAAGAAAGTGCTCAACCTGTAATACAGATTCATGTGCAAATGGATTCACACGGAGATGGAAACCAAGAGCACCAGGGTCCACGAAAATATGAAATACTTTGGACTCCATCTACGTACCAGTGACAGATTACTTTAGATAATTACTGTTCCATTATACATAGTACAACCTCAAGGGTTGGATGATGCTGTCTTTAATACAAAAATAAAAGCATAATGTACACTGTTGTTGAGTGTTCGGTCTTTGAAGTTGTGTTGGGTTCGTGTGCATGATGGGGAAAGCTTTTATGTAATGAAAGCCCCATTCAGTCGGTTCCTAGCCGACGCTCTCATCCCACTCTCGTCACTGTCAGGTCGAGGAGTGGTAGTTCCAGTGAAAGGATGCTTTCAGCAGCAGGTTGTTGAAAAGTACCTCACCCTTCTAAAGGAGTTTTGGGCTGTGGTCCGTGCACCTTTAGGTCAGAGGAAACCCGATGTGCTTGGACTGAAGGAGGGTTAAACGCTGAAGGCCACAAGGCAAAAAAAAAGTAGTCCGTCATCGCACAGTGTTGATGATGGAAACAACAGTTAAATTGGAGCAGTCTTTTTTTCCTTCTTTAAAGCGCCCATTAAGTCCCACTTAACACCAGCGTAGACAACTGGCCAAAGTCCTTAAGGTTTGGCATCAACATCAGCTTAAACTCATTGAAGTACATCAAAAATGTCATATCGTCTTTCTTGCTGCAGTCAAATGCATTGACTGAGTTTGGCTCTTATGTCAAAAGCCATTGCATCACGATATAAACCGAAATCATGGCGGCTACTTATTTGGTAATCCCATCAAGGACACACAATGCCTCCGCCTGTTCAGTGGGGACACTACAGGTGAACAGGGTAAAAAGTTTAACTAATAGAAATCACAATGAAACTTCCCTAGTTGATTTCTTACATTAAGACAAACATTTTTTGTACGTCAAGTTTTGTGAAATGTTATGTTTTAACATGCAAATTGTCTTATCAAATATGTGCTAATTTGCACAAATGAACAAATCTGAACACTGGATGAAGCCAGGTTCAAAGTTGTTTCATGTTGTGACATGTTACGACATGTTACAGTCAAAGGGTTTTACTCTAACAGCCATAAAACCTTCAAAATATAGAAAGTATTAAAACTAGAGTTTGCTGTATGTAAGTGCTACTGAAGCGGAGATTTGTGGCTCGGTATGAGAAAACTCATTTTGTGAAAAAAAGGCCATTAAAGATATGTTTTGTAAAATTCTATCATTTTGCAAGACACTACAGATGGAGACTTATTTTTTGGACTATAAGTATTTTTGAAAATTTTACATCTAAATATGCATATGAGGCATTATATAATGCTGACTTTTGGTGAGTTAAGGAGAAATCTAGAAGTGTAGGAAACTATTTGTGTGTTGGATGTTTTCTCTCCACTAGTCTGAAAGAAGACATGTTATGGAAGTAAAATAGCCCAATATCTAACAATTGACCAGTGCATGAAAAAGCTATGTTTTTGCCTGTAGTGTCTCACCTGAAATATACAGAATTGTAACCTCAATGCATCAGTTGACTGTAATATATGTTCATCCCTATCTGCTTAGAATAAAGCAATATAAAGCGATGTCCGTGCTATTAAATAATCCAGTAAGTGAAAATTATTTTACAAAAATATAACAGTACAAATTCTAATTTATGTCAATTAAATGTCTCTTCACCCTGGATTCCCTCAGTAAAACATTGCTGTAAGCAAAAGAGAAAAGTCAGTTCCATCTTATTTTCTTTCTTGGCCAGACATTCAGGTGTTTTCTCTGACCAGCACGTATTTTATCAGACGCATGGAGCCTCTTTTCCCTCTCCACGATGTTCGGTAGCGTCCCATCCTCTTCCTCTGACCCCTCCAGCTCACGACCAGCAGAACAGAGCAGCAGCAGCTCAGCAGCACTGTGACACAGATGGCCACTGCAATCAGCAAGGTGTGAGCGGCTCCGTGCCAGCCAGGTCCCAAACCCCCGAGGTTGTCCTCTCCGCTGACACCTTGGCCTTCATCGCTGCCTGCTGTGTGGTTCTTCCCCAAGCTGCCCGTGGTGTCATTGGGGTATTGCTTACTGCTCTCTACACTGGCCATAAGGGCTGTGGAAGTTGGAGGGCTGGTGGCCGGCTGTGTGGTGGTGAAAGGATGGGTCGGGGAAGTGGAAGGCTGTGCAGCTGTGGTAGAAGAGGCAGGAGTGGTTTTGGGATTGTTAGAGCTGAGTGTGGTTGCTGTGCTTGATGAAGGAGGCGTAAAGCTGGGCGCAAGAGAAGTGGTCGGGGTTGTTGGTTGTGCATGGTTTCCGGAAGCTAGTAGAGTCTCTGGAGTGGAAGATAAGGGAGCTGTAGTTGTGGGAAGGGTTGAAGGCTGACTGGTGCTCTGCTGCGTAGTGGAGGTGGTGGGGAGCACTCTGCTTGCTGTGGTGGGGGGTTTAACTGTGGGTGCTGAAGTCAGAGGCAGTGCAGCGGGCGGAGGGGGATGAATAAACTGGCGTTTGTCCGAGGGCAGATGTTCTGAGGCGTTCCCTCGGCCGTAGTGGTGGGGTAACACGCGTACATTGGAGGTGAAGTATTTTCCAAACACCAACAGGTCAGGATCCACGCCTATAGCAAACAAAGACTTCTACAGTCACGACTCCTGTGTTATTGGTTGATACTTTTCTAAAAAAAATAATAAAAATGTATTTAATCCATAAAAAAATGTGTTTACTGTTGTATTTGTTATTATAGTAGTAATATTATTAGGAGGAGGAAGAAGAAGACGTATTCAGATCCTTTACTTATGAGTGCTGTACTATTATATACGTTACATTATATGTCTCTTTTCTTGAGCATGTCATAGGCCCTGACTGCAGTCTATATGCATACAGGGAGATTATAAGTATAACCACAGACAATATCAATTATCAGAATTCACCATTTACTTTACTCACCCTTTGTGATATTATACAGAACGACGTTGCCTCTGTGGCTGAGAATACAGCTCTCCAGTGTTGGGCAGTGCAGGTGGAAGCAGTTCTCTTGAGTGGTATCATAGTGAAATATGGCCAGATTACAGGAAACTGTAAGAGGAAAGACTATACGATTAGTGAAGGCAGAGTGCACCGTCACAAATTAACAAAAAAACTGAAAAAGAAAGCCACGAGATCGTTCGATATGTCTGACTCACAGTTTCTGGTGAGGCAACAGGTGCGGCTGCATTTGAGCGCGGTCTCCTCCTGGTAGTACTTCAGGAGCTGCGCTCCTCTCCGCTGAGACTCCTCGATGTCGATGAAAATCCCGGGAAACCGTCGAATCCAGCAGTTCTTATAATACGAGGTCGGTGAGCATCTCGACTCGGTGTGGCACACCAGACTCAAAACCGTCAGCAAACCCCGTGTGACATTCATTGCGCGTGATGCAAATCAGACCATGTCAAATCACAATCTGGACGAAGCATAGACATGTCTGCGGGGCTAATTGTTTTTGGAGTGTGGCAGGCATGAAGTGGTCTGGTTCTACAGGTGCCAGTCCCTCTCCAGGTGTGTCACAGCCACGCACCTGGAGGAGGAGGAGACCCAGCCGTGCGTAATGTGTGCAGGCTCCACCGCGGGCTACCGCTCTGACAGAATGGCACCAAATATACTTTAGGATTTTTAATAATGAATCAAATTTAAAAAGATTACTTTAATAATTTTAATTGCATCTCCACATTGCAAGTGTTACTACACCACATTTCACTCATTGTAAAGTAGATCTTGCTTTAGTTTTAGCACAAATGAAGCTTAAAAATCCCAGCAACCTCTTGTTTTTTCTGTCCGTCTGTTTTGAGCGAGGTCAGACATCTGAGAGTGGATTGCCGTAACTGGAGCAATCTGCCTGCATTCTTTGTATTGGGATTATCACAATAATCCGTTTGCTCCCTGATTTGGTATTTGCTACACCTGTTAGGCCATTTCTTTCACCTTTTGTGAGCTTGTCTCTCCATCGCTGTGCCACGTTCTCACTTTACACCGAGTTGAAAGAACCTTTTTGCATAAAGAGCTCATGGAGTTCAGGTGCTGGGCTGCAATTTAAGGAGGAAACTATTCTGTAGAAATGGTTTGAAATAGAAAACAGTAATAGATTCAACTGGAGAGGATACCATTGCATGAAATCAGTCTGAGCTGCCACTAAAAAAACGTGTTGGGGTGCCAGATTACATATTATATGTTAACCTCTTTGAAATGGATTTTCTGTCAATTTATTACCAAATCGAATGTACAATATTCTAATAAGTCTTTACTGTATTTAAAAAGTAATCACTGAAATATCTAGCCTGTGCCCCAGTTGGATTTTAGCGGGAGCTTTACACCAGAATTTGTTCTTTGGTTTGTTACACAGACTGGTGGATTACATGGGAACTGGCATTTAGTGGCCTCCAAGCAAGAGTGTAGTTTTTTTGTTGATATGTTAAACTCAAAGAACCAACCTGAGTATCAGCAATTTAAGATGGTGAATCGTTTAGACTGGGTTGAATGCTCGAAGTTAATGTGGACAGGAAAAGAGTAATGATGTCTCAAAACCACCAGATGGTAGCGTGGCATTTCTCTTCTTTTCTAAATTGTATAGTCAAAAATTCAAAATAATCAACAGATGAATTAATACTGACAATAATTGTAAGTTGGAGCTACTCACCTTTTTGGTTTCTGATGTCTTCCTTGAGCTGAAGTGCCACCATCTGCCATTAGTTCTAATGTTTTGCAGCTGCAAGCAGCTCCTTCATTACATTTCTGCATTGCAATATGGGACCTTACTGCCCATCAACACATTCAAAAAATAAAGTGGATTCCATGTGCAGAAATCTCTGGACATATTTACATTTGTCATCTCTGAAGCACAACAAACAGAACCTTCCTAAATGATACTATACTATAAAAACAGGACAGAGCTAACATGATCCAATACTCTGCACATTATCTATACCGTTATGAATACGCCACATACTGCAGACAATTCAACAGAATGTAAAAAAACTCGGCAACAGAGGAGTTATGTAAGAAACACCTGTATTTTCATCTGACACTTCAGGGCAACTTACAGTTACAGTCAACCTCAGTAATCAGCTTACAGATCTAAGTCAGGTTCAAGTTAGCAGTGTTATTATGTGCCTTTTGTTGTAGTCAGATCATTCTCATCAAAAACAGTAAGACAATACAAGAGACATTTAACATTAAACATCAAACAAAGTAAATGCAATAGCTCTCTTAAATCATTTCTTCATAACTCTGGTTAGAGGAGATGGATGTGGCACTGTACATCATTTCTAAAATAACACTAACTATTGGCACGAAAACAGTGATATTTTATGGATGTGTAAAGGAGGGATTCTCGGTCTACTTCTATTATTTTTCCCCATTGTTATTTATATTTAAGTCACTAGGTGGCACCATGAGGCAGCCAAACTCCTCTGTAGCAAACATCCCCTGCACATGCATGTGTTTAAAAGAATTGAAATCAAAAACAAGCACTAGTAAAATGAGATGAAAAACACCACCATTGACAACTTTCTCATGCAGGTCTTGTTTGGCTCCTTTGGTATAGAGACCACAGCGCATCATGGTCCTCTTCTATTTTTTTTTATAATTTATTTGCCACTTTTCACACAAAGCCTGTTTCAGCTTCCACAATCCCAAATCCACCTCTTCCTCAGCAGTGATAGTGTTCCTGGGCATGCTGACAGAGCCAGCGTTTCTCTGGGCTTCTGACCGAGTTGTATGGTTTCAGCTTTAAGCTTACGGAGGGAGTAGTCCATTGTTTAGTGTTGTTGCTCACTGAGGTGCTACAATGGGCCTAGAGCAGGTAAGTTCCAACTGTGAGACTTTGTCAGTCTTTGACTAGCCTGTAAATATGATGCTGTGCGCCGTGCTCACTGGTGGACACCTCGAAGACGTAGGCTATGCACAGGAGGGTTTCCAGTGTGTCCCTGTTAGTCACCACCTGTGGGCAAAGAAGACACAAAAGGTACTGCTCAGTCAAACTGTGGGGGGTTAAAAACCCACCTTGGTTACCATCATAGAGGCAGTGGACGACATAATTGACCAATAAAATCCTTTGGTAAAATCCTAATATCAGCCCAACATGTTGGTTTAAATCAAATTCATTTCATTTACTTGTGTTATTTAACAAGGTGTTTGTTGTTTTGGTAGAGCCATGGCTTTCCAATGCAGTGCTAAAGCATGAAGTATGTTTAGACATGCCTTTAATCATTTTCAAAAGTGAAAAATAATGACAAGCAGAAATACACGTTCATTTAATTCAAATCTAATGAGAGCAGCATATGGTTCAGTTTCTTTCTCTCAAACACAATTCAGCTGCTTCTTCGCAGTAGCTCGACACCAATCACTACATAACATAACACACTACTAACTAATTATAAATAACTAATGATGCATGATCTCTGGTCAAAATGTTCTTCTATGTGCAAGGCTGTAATTTGTATCTCCACATCAGGGAGGATTGTGGCGACGCAACAAGCATAAAACTAGCACACAACTCCATCAATTCATCGCGCGTTGCATTGAACACCGTATTACATGAGGCGTATCGATCCATTGTGCTCAGCCTTGCCAAGTGGAATCTGTGAGTGCACCCATCTGTTGCCTTTATGTATGCGCATGTCTGTATGTGTGGTTATGAGCCATTCATGGGTATTATGAGCTAAATCAGCCCATTGAGAAACCTAATGACATGCTGCCATTTAGTCGTCAGTGTGGGCTCAATATGGTCATTGTCCCTTTGCCCAGAAGGAATGCAGCCGCCAATGGAAGGAACACCGATGTCTTTGAACGCTGGTGTTGAGGACCACTTTGTTGCTATGGTGATGCACTCTAAGTCTATTCACCTCCCTCTCCCCTCTGTTCGCTCTCCAAGGAGCACACCGACTCATTCAGAAAAGTCCAATTTACAGTAGAATGGATGAAATATTTAAACTCTGCAAGAAACCATAAAGAAACGCTGCTCATAGGCATAGTGAAAAAACTCCATCAGCTGTCTGTCAAGGTTACCCCATCGTAAGTATTCCATATTCCATATTCCTTTAGAGAGCGGGTTTAAAGAGCAGGTTCTCTGTTTCACACCGTTTTACGACAGTGGGATGTCAGCAAAAAGCACTTTAAAATTGAAAGGAAGTCCACATATTGAACCTCCTTGTGGTCCTGTATGCTTTATCTCCTCAGAATGGTATGAATAGAACTATATGAATGATGGACAATGTGTGTTTTCAATGCATGAATGTGCTGCAGACAATGACTCGCATCCTAATACATTCTAAGTCAGCTCTAAGTCATGCCTCTCTGCAGCTCAAGCAGAATTTTCTGAGCAAGACTACGGCAGCAGACCTAATACATTCTGCTAACAGTGAATGTGATTAAGTGTTGGCAATAGTTATAACATTATGGGAAATATGTTAATTTGCTTTCTTACCAAGAGTAAGACCAGTTGGTTGATACCACTCTCATACCGTATGTTAAACATTACGCTACTGACAGCAGCCAGTTATCTTAGCTTAGCATAAATACTGAAAATGGATATGTCCAGGCTAGCTCTTTTCCTCTGAAAATTAAAAAGAAAATGTGTCGGCAGGATGGGAAGAACCAGAAAACTTGCTGTTATTCCAACTTTGGAGTGTTCACACATCTTGTGGTCAGACAAGATAAATAACCTAAATTGGCTTCTTTGTTGCGTTACTTTATTGTAATTGCTCGTAAATAAGTGACACAAATAAACAGTGTATAAATTAGGTGGTTTGATTCTATTAGAGTTAATGTTAGATTTTATTTTGATGCAACTTTATCTGCAGTTTGCTGACACTTCTGAGGTTCTTTTCTACTGCGGGTAAGTATCATCTCTGATATCTCAGACAGATTACTAGTCAGAGGCTGACGTGAATTTCTTTCCCCAGTTAGAGTCTGTATTTGTGACAACACGGCTCAAAACCAGATGTCTTGTCCGGCATATAGCCCCTGTAAAACCACGAGTTGTTGTTTTTGTATATTTTCCAAACGATTACATTATTACTTTAATATTTAACAGAATAACTGAAAAATCGTATATAATACCAGAAGAGTAATCCCCAGCTTTGACACTTTCAGGCTACAGAATATCCCTGGTTGCTATGAGTAGTATACCTGTAGGATAGTGAAGTTCTCCAGTACGCTGTTCATCATGTACTTCTCCGGCAGGTGTTTAAGCTTGTGGATAAAGTTGATCATATATTCACATAAAGGGGAACGGTGGATTCGAAACACGTAGCGTCCATTCTCAAAACGTGCATACTCCGTCTAGAAAAAACAAATACAATTCACAATCAAAGCGTGCAGTCCAACATATGAGGACATATACCATGTGCAAAGAGAATTTAAAACACATT